GCGCGTGAGGGGGGGGGGGATTGGGCGAGCGGAAAGGGACGTGTGCGCACACATACGAATAGAGACAAATATAAAGAGAATCAGAGAAGCGAAAGTGGCCACGTGAATTTTACGTATTGCCTCTTACCTTGCGAACGTGTCGATAATAATTTAACGTTTGCCATACATCAAAGCTGAAGTGTGTCAAAACTTTTACGAGCGTACCTCGTGGCCCTTTCTTAACTTTCTTTATTCTGACTTACTAATTTTTGTTTTTTTTTTTTTTTTGGTTGTTGTTTTTTTTAGTTCTCTCGTCGTTCTTGAATATTGTTGAACAATATGAACAATGTACAATTCGACGTAAAAAGCAACAATTCGCTGTCATTATTATTTTAAGACTTATCAAGTGCAATTTATTACAAAATCTTGAAAGTAAGTGGGATTATTTAATACCTAATTACATTTGAAAGTATTAAAGTACGTATGATTATGCAAACAAATTGTTGTTTTTCTCTGACTATATATGTTAAAATTAAACCAGAAATTTCGGAATCAACATATTAGAAGAAAAAAAAAATTTTAATGTATATCTTTTGTAAATGCATTAATTATACAAATGATTCTAGCTTGATTTTTAAACATCATTTAATTAATAGAGAAGCAGTAATATAAAAACCTAGATAATGAAACTTTTTAAAGGGGACTATACACAAACCTGTTTTTAAGAAAGCGACAATATCGATTGTCAAGAAACCCGACAAATCGATCGAATTTCAATAACTGGTTTTAATTAAAGAAAAAAAAAGAAAAAAAAAACACTTCACCATAAAGTTTTAAAAGATAAGCTTATACGTTAAGAAATTTTTACGAGGCAACTTTTTCACTATGGTATTTTAAATCTGTCGTGAAATTCTTATACGATTTCACTAATTAAGGTTTTCTTCCATGTGCTTTCTTAATTAGAAAAATGATGATTGAAGGTGAATTTTCGTCAGTATGATATAGAAAAGTATCGGATGGCCGCTTATGTAAATAAGCAATTAAGGTGCATTAAATCCACAATAATTTAAGAGTAAATTTTTCTAAAGGGACTATTCACGAGCGCTTCAATGGCAAAGGATACTACTACTCGTGGGCAGATCCTAGGACAGCTGGTCAGGAGGTCGACTGGCTAACTGGAAGGAATTTCTGTAGACAGCGATGCATGGATCTCGTTTCATTGGAAACGTCAGCCGAGAACGAATTCATCAAGAGCCGCATCGTCCGCAGTAATTATTCAATTATCTCTTATATATTATAGCAAAAGTTTTGTTAAATTAAGTCGAGCGTGTGTTGGCTTTTCATTCGAAAGATAGATAAAATTGAAGAAAGATCAAAAAAATTGAAATTTTATAACGAATGTATTGTTATAGCCTGTTGGAAATTAATGATAATTTAAATATAATGGATTATCATCTTGTAATAAGTAATAATAATAAGCTCGTGATAATTAGCCTTTAGCGATTGTACGTATTTTTCAAATAGTTTATAATGCATAAAATGTGATATTATATTTATTTTCTTTTCATTTAATTTTTTTTTTTTTTTTTTTTTTTTTTTGATTTGTATCTTAGTATTAATACTCAGTTCGTTTCAAGTTTCCTAAAGTAAAAACATGCATTGAAATGATATTGAAAGTTATTGAAATGACTTTGAAAAGTCCGTTTCTTCTTACTAAGCCAATGACAAATAGAGCATTAATTTTAATGTCCTCCCTTATACATCGTGCAATTGTAGACAAAGTCAAGTATATTTGGACTTCCGGGCGCCTCTGCGACTTTAAGGGCTGCGATAGACCCGATCTTCAGCCACTTCAGGTGAACGGATGGTTTTGGACTGCCGAACTTCAAAAACTTGCCCCTACTACTGACCGAAGCCAAAATGATTGGTCCGAAAATGGAGGGTAAATATAACGAACGTGATTTTTCAAATTCTTGCGTGTAAATTCTTCCTTTAAGTTAATTCAGTTAATCAGTTTATAGCTAAATATAATATTAAACGATAAGACGATAAAATAATTAATCACTAGAAAGTATATTAATATTAAAAGGTAAAATATCTGCTTTCAATCGACATTCTAAATACAATCAAAGTACTCATCCTCAATCCATTTATTACAAACGACAATTATAAAACAATTGTAAATGATTAAATTATCAAATTGTTATAAATAAGTAAAGCATAAATATAATATATTTGCAATTACATACAATGTGCATGCAGATTATAGTTTAACATCCTCTGATCGTCTAATCTAATCCTCGATCCACCTAATCCAATGTTATCGACAAAACATTTGCTCTCCACAGTATTGGTAAGCCGCAACCTGACAATCGAGAGGCCATTCAGGGTGGAGCTCCCGAAAATTGTCTCGCCGTATTGAATCAGTTCTACAACGACGGTGTCAACTGGCACGACGTTGCCTGTCATCACAAAAAGCCCTGGGTTTGCGAGGAGAACGACTCACTTTTAAAATACGTGCGCTTCACTAACCCTAACATTCGAGTTTAAATCCAACCAACGTACATATCATTAAAATCCTAAGATTTCCGAAGTAAACTGTTTTACCGGCACCTACTCTCCAATAGTCGACTGTACAATAATAAAACATTAATCGGCCTTCGCTCGTTATTAATTCGTAATGACGAGATCGATTTACGACGTATGATCTAAATAAGGTGAAGTATTAAGAATATTCTATAATAATATTAAACGCATGGATAAATCATGGACTCGGATACATTTGAATATTTATCAATAATCATACAATACACATATGTTAAGGAAAGGTGGATGTTCGGAGATCTTTGAGTTTGTGGTTTATATTACCACATTTTTTCCTCTTGCCTTAGTTTTTCGAGGCAATATTTTGTAAACCGCCATAAACGTGACGCACGACTGAATAGACACGTATCAATTATTTATTTCTACATTGATAAAAATCCCTTCTCTTAGTGAAGCGACAATAATCGAGATTAAATGAAGAGTATTTATATTGAATGTGTGTTATGGTTTTATATTAACTATTCTATTTTATATATATATATATATATATATATATATATATATATATATATATATATATTGTTTCCATCCTGCAAAAATATATCTTAAAAATGATGATAAATTGTATGAAGTGAAAATGTCTTTCTTTACAAGAAAAATGATTATTGAACATTGATAAAAAATTTGTGCAAACTAAAGCTTATTTATTTCTTTCCTTCTACCATAATAATATGATAACCAAATTTCGTTTTGACCGGTGGATCTGTATAAACTGGCGAACCGATACTAGATATTGGTAATGCAAAAGCTGCTTCTTGAAATGGACCGACCATGGAACCTCGTGTCATCCACCCAAGATCGCCCTACATGTAACATTACAATATTAAATTTAAATGCCTTGCATGTAATTCAATAGCAATTACGCATATAATAAGAAAACAATAAGTTAAAAATATTATTTAAAGTATATAAAGTAATTTAAAAATTCTTTTACATAAAGAAGCAATATCTTGTAAAGAATTAAATATTACATATTCATTAGCTTACAAATGTAAATAAAAATCCATATTTACGCAACAAATTTACTTAATAATCAGAATATTTAATATGTACGCATAAAAGGTTTATACAAAATACAATTAAGAATATGTATTTATCTGTATTATTAAAGATACAGGTTTGTACTGTTGTTATTATTTGTTAAAAATGAGTGTAGAAATTTTATTTCATACATAAATTACCATTTAATAATTAAGTTTAATTGACTTACACCGGATCTTGCTTTGTCTTCGCTGTAAGTTGTGGCTACCTCGTTAAATTTCTGTCCAGATTTTAATTTTTCCATAGCTTCGAGAACTTTAGATTGTTTTTCACAAAGTATATGTCGAACCTAAAACTTTGCAACTATAAAAACAAAAAAAAAAAAAACACGCACACAAACATGTTTTAAGAATAAATTTAATTTATATGAAAACCTTAATAGCAGTTCCGCCTTTCTTATCTTCTTTTCCTTTTTCTTCGTTATTTGCATTACCTTTTGATTTTCCAGCTTTCCCACTACCACCAGCTTTTTTTGGAGCCATTATTTTAACAAAAGTATCAAATATTAATACAGATTTTTATTTTATTTTATTTTATTTTAATATCAAGATCACTTTTAAAGGTTATGTTTTCTTATTTATTTTGGTGATGAACATACTCACGAATGTACTTGGCACGCTTTGAAAATTTTTTAATTTAAAACTTTTAAAACATCGAATCAGCGAAGATTTTATTAGAATGAAATGTAGGTTCAGACGAAGGCAAACATGATTTTAAAATCATATAAGACTTTGAACTAATTTTGTAATATAAATTACAGTTCTTTAATATCATTTAATCGTCGTAAATCGTAATTACACACTTTATACATACAAATATATTTAGGCATAAAAAACTTAAATCTTAATTCTATAACGATAGTAGAAGATTAATATAATTCTTCTTACTGATTACTATTTTATATACGTAACATTATAATTCATCGATATATTATTGAAATTTTAATGGATACATAAAGATTAAAATAATTTTAACTGAACCGTAACGATGCACGCAACGCGCAAAATGAAAATTCTATGCTCCAATAATATAATATATGATAAAAGATAATAAACAATAACTTAATCATTAATATTTTCAAGAAATTTAATGAAAAGTTAGATAATATTGTATATTTATAATAATGACCTTTTATCATTTAAAAGTCTGTTAATTTTTTATTTTTCTGCTAAAAACATAGAAAACATTACTATATTTCTATCACACTTATATAACGAATTACTTTAATTTGGATAAATTAATCAAATAATGAAACGCTATTACGTTTATTTTCGTAATTTAAAACAATTTAAAAAATATTATAATTTGTAATAATATTATCATAATAAATAAAACAATATTATAAGAATTTCGTTTAATTTTACTTCGTTGTCGTAAAAAAAAAAAAAAAAAAAAAAAAAAAAAAAATGAAACTTTATTTATGGAATATTTCATAACATTGATATAATTTTACATTGAGATATTATATGAACTTATATGAATATCTTCAATACTTTTTAACACATACAGAAATTAATGTTAATACATCGTCTAAGGTAGTGCAAGATTCAATGTAATATTATTATTAACACTCATCCCTGAATATAACAAATAGTTGTTCATTTATTATTTGATTAATAAAAAAAGAAAAAAGAAAGAAAAAACATCATTTATATATTAAATTTTTTTTTGACGGAATAAATTGAGCAGGAAAGCTTAAATAATGAAACGAGAACAATGACAATACTCAATGTTAAAATAAAACTAATATTTAATAAGTCTTCTATAAAAATCGTGTGCAAATCTTATAGATTGGCTGTCAATTAAATCTCAAGATCGGTAAATAAATATCTAACAATGAAATTAGAATTTTAACATTTCGTACAATCGCAACTTATTTATTCATTAAAAATATATACTTTGAGAAGGGTCAATGATTTGAAAATTGATACGATAATTTATAAAATTTATTTCAATGCAGGCAAATTTTACAGTATAATTAGTTTTATAATCAAAATTAGGATTGAAAATTCCTACAAAAAGTAGTTTTATTTTAAATAAATCTTCTTAAGATATATGAAAAAAAAAAAAAAAAAAAAAAAAAAAAAAAATGTTTATATACAAATTTATTAACTCTATGTTGGCAAATTATTTCGATCTTTTACTTATTATGTTAAGATCATTCCAATACAAGTAATAATGAAATTATAATTTTGTACACATTAACAGATATCTTTTTTTTTATATTTAATTGTAAATTATCTTCTTGTGTTTAATTCATCACCATTTGATTTTATAAAGTCTTTGACTAGTTCGTGATATATGGATTGAAAATTAATTCACTTAAATAAAAGTCAGTACATTAAATATATCTTTTCATTTAAATTTTAGTACGCATATATCTCTAGCTATTAACAAGGAAGTCAATAAACATGTAATGCCCGCCAGTATGTAGAAGTAATTAATGCATCTTACATTTTGTAATTGAAAATTGTAGCAATTTTCCATTTGATTTCTTTTAAAATTATTTTTGTTTATTTCTTTTTCGAAAATTATATATAAACTAAAATAAATAAAAAAAAATATATATATAATTAGAAATTTATGTAATTGTCAATAATAGTTATTGAGAATTTTTGATACTTACGCTAGTGACATTTGTCTCTTTTACTTTTTGTAACGAACGCCTGTAAAATGGAAAGAATATCAGAATGAAATAATTAATATCTACTTTTATAATATTTTTAACAACTTACTTCTGTGCACCCTTTGGCTTAATAGATTTAATTAATGAACCAGGAGACGACACCAATGAATTAGATTTTAAAACAAGTGTATTCTTAATTGGGAAAGCATTATTTGAATTTGCAGAAAAATTATTATCATTATTATTATTACAAGTATTATTTAAAATTATTAATGATTTGTCTTCGATTGTCTTGCTTACTTTCTCTTTGTTCTGCTGCAACAGTGTTTTTAAGTTTGTGTTCTGAAATAATTAAAGCTAATTACTATTAATAATTAATTATTATTAATAATTATGTAAAAATATCATTAAAGTATAACAACATGTTGCTTAATACGTATGTCTAACAAATTTATACTAAACATTTAAAAAATCATTTATTTAGTACATATTAAACGGCATATTATAATGCATTGAACAATGTTTCATTTATATTAAATAGAGTAATGAATAATATATTCTTTAAAGATTTTTTTTATCGTTAACTAACAATTCTATTTAAATATTATAAGAGATTGATTAAAAGCGTATTGAAATTGGTAACAAATTAATCAAAAATTTAAAAAATATTCTCCCATTTTGTCACTAAGTTTTATATCCGATCTTTTACATATCAATAATAAAATGTTATATGTGTACACGTTTCAAAATAATAAACAAATTTGTGTAAATTGTTAATAATACCTGTTGTTAATAATTTAAGCAAGATAAATTTAAAAGTCTTTCATAAACTTGAGAATGAAATTTGAAATACAGATTTAAACATACATATATTATTTTAGTTATAGTTTATTTTATTATATGTTTTTTTTTTTTTTTTTTTGTATATGTAATTATATAATCAATATCAGAATAACTATGTAATAAATTTAAATGTATTAAATTGTTATATTAGGAATAATTAGGAATTGTATTAGAAAAATTTCTATTGTGATTTTCTCAATCATCTATTATTAAAAAAAAAATTATTAATTTATTATTTTCCACGTATGAATTGAAAATGGCCTCTGATACAATAATCAAAATCTATAAAACAAAAAATGAATGTATAATGATTCAATAGAATATATTATTTAACCATTGATTTTTAAATGAAAAATGCTACTTTGTACAGTGTTATATACATAAATGCTAAGAATTAAAATTATAATTCTTTAGTTATACATTTTTATATGAAAAATAATGTACAATACAATTATGTATAATTGATAAAATGTAATATTAAATTGTTTTTAATTTGTTATTTAATATACATGCTTGAAAATGCATATGTTGTTGATATACAATATTTGCAAATGTTTCCGAAAATATATTATAGAAAATCCTGACATTCTTGTAAATATGACTATGATGTTATTAAATGCATAGAAGATAATTATCAAATAAAAAAATATAAAGCGCAACTTATTTTCTTATGTACGTCATTAATTTATTATTAAAAGCTTAAAATATGTATTGAATAATTATATAAACACGTCCGCGCATATACATGCATTATATATATATATATATATATATATATATATATATATGTATATATTATTGTAAATAGTAAATTGCAGGAAAATAAAAATACCTCAAATCTTAATGATTCCAATTCTTTGTCCTTTATATTTATTAGCTCTTCCTTTACTTCATTTTCTATTTCTAATAAGCTTAGTGACTCAATGTTTTTTCTGAGTTCTATTAAATTACAAAGTTTTTATTGATATTTTTAATATTTTAGAGTAATATCATTTATTTGCTATTGCGTTAAAGAATAAGCTTTACCTTTTTGAAGTCTTGATATTAAAAAGTTTTTTTCTTGATCACGAGAAATTGCTTTCATTGTAAAGCTGAGTAATGTATTTACTGAAAAAATTTATCAAACAAAGTAATAATTTTGTAAAATTATAGATGAAAAGAATAAATCCTTGTTGTTTTGTACCTTTTTTCTGAGCCTTTTTCTCTAATATTCGATTAAAATCCGTAACCATTCTACTGACATTTGAATTTTCCGAACTTATATTCATGTCGAATTATAAATTATAAAAATGAAACTAAAGACGATAAATTAATGAGAATTTTAAAGAATTATTAATTAACGGTGGGCAAATAAAAATCCTGCACTATTAAAAATTCGTATTATCATAAATTAAACGTCTTTATTAATTCATAATAATGTTAAAAGCTCTTTTCTTAAATAAATGTCCTAAATGTATTTCGAAATGTATTCACGAACTAAATTTTCAACGGTCTTTGCTTTAATAGCCGATTCCTTTCCTATTTATTCTTCATGAGTAATACAAAGGATAAAAGACAAGGATTATTTCAAAGAATAGATAATATATTATAAAAACGAGCGTAATAAAGTGATATTCGGTGTAGATAAACAGACGATGTTGTCTTAATAAATAATATGGGTGTCAATCAGTTAAGAAACTTCCAAATCATTCCGTTAATAATCCAAATGATTTGTAAACACAAAATCAAAACACCGGCCTATGATTTTCGTGCTGCCACAAGGAAAATCTGCCAAAATATAGTACTACAAGGCATTTGCTATAGGTGACACGCGGCGCAAACACTGCGTTTTATATCCCCTATGAAAATGTATGGGACGTTAATTGACGGTCAATGATCCTGAATATTCTGTGTCAATGCCGGTCAATTAAAATTTTCATATATGCTGCGAAATCAGCATTTTACTTATATTATCTTCCTTGCTTTATTTTTTTCTACATTGCCACTTTGCATTTTGACGCATAACATCAGCGGGCTCTCTTATTATTTTTCACGCTGATTTCAAAATTGGCAATTGATCTCGGTAACATTGTTATTATTCAATAAGAGCGTTCGCTATAATAAAACCAATATGTGCAATGATTTCATAATTATCTTCGACAATTTCAATGTACTTAGTAATTTATCGTGATTGTGACTGTCAATTTACACGAAACTCAACACGCAAACGCATAATCAATCGCATTAATTGTATATTTGCATGTACAAATTAATACCTACGACACCCTTGCAATTGTGGTAAATGTAAAAGATTCGTGCAATGTACATGCAAGCGCCGGTGTGCAAAATCGTATGTAATTGTCCTTTGAAATAAATATGCGTGCATCCAAGGAGATAGGTGATATCTTTTATAAGTACATGGATTTCATGTAATATCACTCGCTGATCACTCGTTGCAATTAACTCTACGACAATATTTTGCACCTCGCTTCATAAAGAAGCATAAATAAAAGATAAGAAGACATTTAAATCTACATATATTAATTGCATATATTAAAATAAATAAATATATAATATATGTGTATGAATATGCATGCGCATGTATTCTTATAATTTAAGATATAAGGTTTATATATATATATATATATATATATATATATATGGATATCCATTTGAATATAGAAGCGCATGTATAAATATATATATATATATATATATATATACATGTGCGTATAAATATACACGCTCGCCTATAGCACGGATGCACACACGCATTTATGATTTATATACATTGTGATACTCGCATATATATATATATATATATATATATATATATATATATATGTATATATAAATATAAATATATCTATGCACACGAACACATACGCATATGTATATACCTTCAGATTTAAAGAAGAAGGAAGGTGCACCAGTGACGATCTTTCGACAAAGACTGAATAAAATACGAAAAATAAGAGAGCAGACGCGACGTGTGCGCGTATTAGGGTGTGTGAATAAAAACGTGACGAGAGAGATTAATAGAATCTCTTAATTTTGTAAAATTGAATAAGAGGGTTAGGCCGTTACATTCACATTTGCACTTGTAAAAAAGCTTAAAATTACGCACACAGTCATAAAAATGCAGAAAGGGAATAAATGAGGTTAGGACAGAAAGAAAAGACGGGAACAGCCACAAGAAAAGCAAGAAAGAAGGAGAGTTAAAGAGGAACGTATAGGAGATAATCAAGGAGGGAGAGAGAAAGGTTAAAACGCCTCTCTGAAATCCCTTATAATTGTCTGTATGCTTTGTTTTAATAAAAAACGAGAGAGAGAGAGAGAGCGACAGATTCTTTGAGAATTAGAAATTAAAGGAAGTTAAAAAAACTGAAGTATCAAAACTCTATTAAAATTTACAAAACATCAACAAATACATTAAAATTGATTTATTTATTTTTTAATTTGTATAAAATCATTTGGAAGCTGTAGAAATAAAGAGAAATATAAAATATATTGAACATAGAAATAAATCAGCTTACATCTTTAAAAACGGTTAAGAATAAATATATATATATATATCCAAAGATCATATAAGATTAAATGCATATTGGTTAGAAAAAACCAATCAGAAGACGACTGCTGTTAAATTAGTTAAAATAGGGGAGAAGTTTTAAGTACTGAAATACGTTCCCGCAGCCGGGCAATGAGTTCTTATGTCCAGGTTGGGTAGAACACAGATTCTGGCTACGAATTACAGCCATCATCGTCGACATCAACAATCAAGTGGTTCGAGTCAACAAGAACTGCAGAACCAGGTGGAAGCTTGTAGTGTAGTTACAAAGTGGCCTAAGTACAATTTTACAGAACGAGAAAGTGTAGATAACACTATGACAGATACAGCTGCTACATCTCCAGGGAATGGCACACAAACCAAAAGGGCAAACTTTTCTTTAGCTGTTGCCAATCCTAATGGAGTCAATAAAATAACACAAAGCTTAGCCACGGGTAAACCAGGCACTGCTAAAAAACTTATTATTAAAAACTTTAAAGGTACGAGTTAATCATTTTTATAGTTTTTTTTTTTTAATAATTTTATCTTATTTCTATTGGTATTTAATTTATAACTTTGTAGCTGTTAGCATTTCAAAGAAATTCTTAGTTTTAAATATATTAGTATAAAGAAATATATATATTATATGTTATATATAAAGTTGATAAATTTTATATATTACAGTTAATCTTACGAGATGTCTTTGAACATTTGAAATTTTAATAAAAAGTATCAAACCTTCAAAACTTATATATAAAATAAACTCTATTCTTTTAGATTTGAAGCCTAATTATATTACATTGATTAAATTGTATTTTTATAATACAAAATTTAAAGTTAATATTTTTTACATAAAATTTTTTATTAATATAAATTTACTTTAAACATACAAATGTAAGATTTATTATCAGTGTATCAAAAGATGAAATATGTAACCAAATTATTGTATCTGTTAATTTTTCTTATTATTATATAAGAATAATACATTATTTTTAAATATTATATGAAAAAAAGTATATCTTTAATTAAAATTGATTATATATTTACTAAAGATTTTTATATTTTTTTTAACAGTTAGATAAAGATCGAATCAATATGCAATATATCAATGTCACGCATAAAATAACTATTTAAATCAATACAATTGGATTGTTTATATTAATACTAAAAATAAATGAAAAATTATACTATTGTTTCAATTAATTTAGTATGTGTATATGTGTGTATGTGTCCTGCACACATAATCTTCATATAAATTATATCATTAGCAAGTTTATAAAATTTATAAAATTATAAATTGTAAAAAAATAATTATTAAATCTATTAGCAAAGTTATTTTTTTAACATTATTGTCGAAAAACATACTGATACTTTTTGTTTTAATTTGGATACTTATTACATTCTTTACTTTTTTCATACTGTAATTACCACAAAATTACTTATATATTTTTATGTGATTTACAGATAAGCCAAAGCTTCCTGAGAACTATCAAGAAGAAACATGGGAGAAGCTTAGAGAAGCAGTAGTTGCAATACAAACTAGTAAAAGCATACGTTATTCATTGGAAGAATTATACAAAGCTGTAGAAAATATGTGCAGTCATAAAATGGCTTCGACACTTTATAGCAATCTAACGGTGCTAGTGGAAACTCATGTTAAGGCTAATATTGAGCAATTTTTAGCAGAGTCAATGGACAGACACATTTTTTTAAAAAAAATGAATGAATGTTGGCAATCACATTGTAGACAGATGATAATGATTCGCAGTATATTTCTATATCTAGACAGAACTTACGTCCTTCAAAATCCTAGTATTTCATCTATCTGGTAAAATTAACTTTTATAATAATCAAATATAAAAATACTCATTTAGCTAAAAGTAAATTTAATATCAACAAATCTAATATTTAATATTGTATTTGTGTATTAAGATTTCATTTAAATATTATAATTTTCAAAAAAAAATCATTATTTTATAAAGAGAAGATTCCGTCTATAGAAAGTCACAGACAAAAATAATATATTATAATCTTATATAAAAATTATTTGATGCCTTTGTGATTATTTTAAGACATTTATGCTTCTCCATTATTCAAATTTCTTTAATTTATTCTATTAAACTTATTTAAAAAATTACTAATATATTTTATGAGCATATATTATGCTGAATGTGGATTTTTCATATTAAGTCTTATTCCATATATTTTAAATTATATTTATAAACAAAACTAAGTATTAATTTCAAAGCTCTTGTATGTAATAATAGTTTATATCCAAATTATAAAATTTTAGAATATCAAAGTAATTTTATTTTATAATATTAGATAAATTTTTTCAATTAAATTTTTAAAATATAAAATATATCTATATTGTACCATAATAAACGTATGCATTTTTCCTTTTACTACTTTTAATAATTAGATTAAAACATAACTATTTACTTCGATATTGTATATAACTGATTCGATTAATTTTGTTAATTTTATTTATTTTATCTCATTTTTATTTAAACGTGTGATTTCCCTTTTTTAAAATTTTCATAATTAATAAAAAAGACGCGCGTGTGTGTAGATTCGCTCATTTATGCTTGAAATTTACATTAGTAAATAAATTAATGTTTCTTTCAGGGATATGGGCCTGTACCTCTTTAGATTGCATATCGTACTGAATAATTTAGTGCAAACACGTACTGTAGAGGGTTTGCTGATGCTGATTGAAAAGGAACGGCAAGGAGATACTGTTGATCGAACTCTTCTCAAATCCCTTCTGCGAATGCTCTCTGACTTGCAGATTTATCAAGATGCTTTTGAGTCCAAATTTCTCATTGCTACTGAGAGGCTTTATGCTGCTGAAGGTCAAAGACTTATGCAGGAACACTATGTACCCGAGTATTTAGCACACGTTGATAAACGTCTTCAGGAAGAGAATGAAAGACTATTACATTATCTTGATACTTCTACTAAGTACGATATTTTTTTTTTATATTCAAAGTTCATTAACAATTTAAATAGTTTGGCAATAGTGTTACTTATGTACACTTAATGAAATAATTCGGATAGCCACTGAAGTTTTCATTATAAAATTGAAAATCTTAAATTAAAAATGTATATTCGTGTGGAATGATCATAAATTTTTTTTTAAAGATAATTTATACTGCCAACGTCTTAATGTCTTGATGATATATATTTAAAATAATATAATAATATGTAAATGTTTCAGGTGGTCATTAATACATACTGTAGAAAAACAATTGTTATCAGAGCATGTCAGTAGTATTTTACAAAAAGGACTAAGTGGATTATTGGACGAAAATAGAATAAGTGACTTGTCCTTACTTTATAATTTATATAGTCGTATAAAGAATGGCTTAGTGGAGCTCTGTTTAAATTTTAATTGTTATATTAAAGTAAGTACTTTCGTTATCTAATTTATAGTAAATGTAACAAAGTATTTTTCATCTTTATTCTCATGACTGTTTTATGAATAATCATTTTTATCATTATAATAAATGTTATTTATATTTCTTTAAAATATCGATTAAGATAAATTATGTTTAGTTAAAATATTTTTAAGTTAAAATATTTCAATTAAATGCAATGTTTAATATTTTTTAATATGAGAATAATTTAAAGGACAAACGTCGCTAAATAGGTATTCGATTAACTGTCTTGTAATGTTACATTATACCTTCCTTCAGTTCACATGTAATTTTATTATAAATGTTATTAATTATTAATTAAATTTAATAGAAAAGTATTACATAGTGCTCCTAACTGTTAATACATTTACATAATATAGACTAATATTTGTGTTTTCTATAAAATGTTATCTTTATAAAGAATGACACATTATGTAATAAATTTTCTTATAAATATTTGTAAAAAATAAAAATATATTCTGTTAATTATGAAAATGATTAATTATGAGTAAACATGTTACATATTGTATTTTCTATAAAAAGAATGAAAAATCTTTGTAAAATTTATATAATCAACGTATTTCCCTATCGATAATTATTTAACAAATATTTTTAAAGCAAGATTTTCTGTTTTATATTGGTGAAATATACTTAAAATCAATGTAGTATTCTTAAACATTTTCATCTGCTTTCTATTTCGTTATAAATCTATTATTTATCGTTAAAAAATATTTCTATTAAAAAAGTATAATATTTTAATTAAGTAATATTATAAACTATTAAGGCTATAAATTAATTAACCATTAACATTAACTTTTATTGTTATAAAAAATCAATAATTAAATAATAATAAATAAAAATAAACTATATATAATAAATTGTTATATTATTTATAATAAAACATTGCTTTAAATGAATATTATAAAATAAGCAAATATTTTTCTTATAATGAAATAGTAATTAACAATGATAAGCCAGATTTCAAGCTTTTATATGAGTAAATTACCTAAGTATCTGCAAGTAGGGCTAAGCCAATCATTAAAAATTCGAAATTTGTTGATAAGTATAGCTAGAAACGCTTAAAAGATTATCAATTTATTAAATGTATTTTATGTATTGATGAAAATTTACTATTCAAATAAACTTATAATAATTTAATAGTATATTTTGAAACTTGAATAGTAATATTGATCTCTTGGCAATTGATTAAATTTTTTAATGACAATAGTTTGTAATTAATCTGTAAAATAGCACGTATAAAAATTAAATTTATCATATTTTAGAATAATTTTTTTTTTTTATTTATGAATAGAAAAGAGGTAAAACAATAGTCATAGATCCAGAGAAAGATAAAACCATGGTACAAGAACTCCTAGATTTTAAAGATAAAATGGACAATATTGTCAACACGTGCTTTCATAGAAATGAAAAGTTTGCCAATAGTTTGAAGGAAGCTTTTGAAGCTTTCATTAATCAAAGAGCAAATAAGCCAGCTGAACTAATAGGTATAGTGTCATTTTTACATTCTTCTACCATCATAAAACAATTATTTAAATTTTTAAAAGGACTATTTTGCATTTCACAATATTTCGAAGCACCTTTCTAAAGGTACACGTGACAGTTTGCGTTTTATTTTTACAAATATAATGTAAATATAATATCGCGTCAATTAAAAAGGGGGCATTTTCATAAATACTCTCTTATCGCTTAAATACATATCAATGATAAATTTAAATAAATTAAGCTAATTAAATTTTGAGTTTAATAATAATTGTTTGCATTTAAATTGCAATATTAATAATCCACAGCGAAATTTGTCGATTGTAAATTGCGAGCTGGCAACAAAGAAGCTACAGAAGAGGAGCTGGAACGCCTTCTCGACAAAATTATGGTTCTATTTCGTTTCATTCACGGCAAGGATGTGTTCGAGGCGTTCTATAAAAAGGATCTAGCGAAACGGCTTTTGGTCGGGAAATCCGCTTCCGTAGACGCGGAAAAGTCTATGCTCTCAAAATTAAAGCCGGAATGAGGGGGCGGCTTCACCGGACAGAGCAGGTATGTTCAAAGACATGGAGCTAAGCAAGGACATAAATATTGCGTTTAAGCAATACTCTGGCAACCTTCAGAGTGAACTCATAGCGAGTAATCTCGATTTGACCGTCTCGATACTCACAATGGGCTATTGGCCGACGTATCCGGTGATGGAAGTTACCTTGCCCCCAGAGATGGTCCAATATCAAGATATCTTCAACAAGTTTTACCTGGGTAAACATAGCGGCAGGAAGCTGCAGTGGCAGCCGACCCTTGGCCATTGCGTACTCAAGGCTTGGTTTAATCAGGTGAGGGATCCACGATACCCTCTTACCGTATTCTTCGGAAGAATTGCTCATAATTTGATAAATTCTTAAGAAACTTGAATTAACTTTATCGTTCCTTGAATTCTATGCATAAAATATTTATGGCCATTGAATACGGATAGATTTTAAAAAATGAGCGGTTAATTCTTTACGAGCCAGTCCTATCATTTAATTTATTCAATGTTTGATAATTTTATTTCTTTCTTTTTTTAAAAATTTATTTATTTATTTATTTATCTATTATTTTTTCTAAATAGAAAATTCTTTTATTTTCGACACAACACATATGTATTCATAATTGGAAAACGCTTTTACAGGGTAACAAAGAATTGCAGGTTTCATTATTCCAAGCATTAGTTTTAATTCTCTTTAACGAAGTGGACAATTTATCCTTTGAAGAGATTAAGGCTGCAACGAATATCGAAGATGGTGAGCTTAGAAGGACACTGCAGTCGTTAGCTTGCGGCAAAGCTCGAGTTCTTCAAAAAAATCCCAAAGGAAGAGATATTGCCGATAATGACAGATTTATTTTCAATGCCGATTTCACCAATAAACTTTTCAGAATAAAGATCAATCAAATACAAATGAAGGAAACGGTGAGTTTTATATGAATTTCTTTATTTAAAAATCATTTATTTACAAAGGAATTTATAAGATTACGTAAATACGTGCAATTGTATGTTATTCATTTAAATGTTATACGAATAATATTATCAATTATGCGTGCGTTTCAATTAATTATCGATTAAAGGCTAATATTAAAGAGTACATGGCGTAATGCACTTTTCTGAATATAATAGAATATTTTTTTATTATTTATTCATTAGAACGAGGAACAAAAAGCAACAGAAGAACGAGTCTATCAAGATAGACAGTATCAAATAGATGCAGCAATCGTCAGAATTATGAAAATGCGAAAAACTTTAACACATAATCTTCTTATAAGTGAATTGTACAATCAACTTAAGTTCCCAGTTAAGGTATGTACTTTTTTTTTTTTAATTTTTTTTTTAAGTAAACGTAAACAAATAAATTAGAGTTTATGCTTTGATAATAATAGTTGAAGTTCGGCAAATATGTTTTAAAATTAAAAATGTCAATTCAATTATTCAAATGATATAAAAAAAGCCTTTTTGCATATGTAATTACGCAATATAACAATACAACATATGCAATTATTTTCAATTAATGTTAAATTTCCTTAGTAATTTTTTAGTTTAAAAAATAAATTTGATTAGATATTATTGTCTTGAATGTGTGCAATACGTAATTTATGTTTCAGCCCGCCGATCTGAAAAAGCGAATAGAATCGTTGATTGATCGAGACTATATGGAAAGAGATAAGGACAATGCAAATCAATATAATTACGTTGCGTAACCTCGTCATATAAATGCCAAAGCTATAACATATTGGGCCGTGGTGAGAGTATTTAGTAAAAAATAAAAAAATAACAAAAAAAAATTAAATTAAATAGCATTCAAAATTTGAGAAAAAAAGCACAAGAAAGAAAATAATAAACTAATTTTAGTGGTGTTTGTGAGCGTGTATGTGTAAACTAAAAAGAAAAGAACAATAATACGTTCGATAGGAAGCAATACATAATAAGAGCGTTAAACTTTTTATCTGGAGTAACTGATTTCTGAATCTCTGAAAGCATCGATTTACCATAAGCCTTTATTTTATATACTTATAAATTTAATCAATAGTAAAAATAAAACTATTTCACCGTTAAATTAATGCATGAATAATAGTATATTAGCCTTAATTATTTGTTACTTGTTTAAATTCTATTTTTCTTTTTTTATGAATTCAATTTTTTTACTTTTAAATTTAATTATTCATTATTTTAATAAATATACATTTTACCAATCTTTTATACAATTAATAATATTATTTATAAAAGTTTTAATTCATTTTTTTTTTTTTTTTTTGGGAAAATTTAATTTCATTTTTAAAAAATGACATATAATTTTTCGCAAGATGTACAATTAAAAGGGATTAAAGTTACTAATAAATTAATTTATATGAAAGAGGGTTGGATAAATATAATAATGTTAATTATAAATTATAATAAATACATAATAAAGTGATCGAACTGCTAAAATGGAGATACTGAAACAGTCTCTAAAACGTTCTCGAAATACTTTGCATATTATATCTGTGTATATATAAATATGTATATACGTATGTGTATATATATATATATATATACACACACACACACAGACACACACATGTATACGTATAGTATAAAAGAAGAAATGATTGCATTGCGATATACTATCGGAGCTGCTTTTTTACTGAGTTATTCGTTTTTTAATAAAAATATAATAATAAAATAAAAAAAAAATAAAAATAATAAAAATACAAGAGCTAAATAAATTTTTTGTAAAATTCGATGGAGGAAAGAAGTTGCTGTATGGAAAAATTGTGAAGATGTAAAAGCTTTGCACGTCGTTATAAACGTTTATGAGCAAAGCCTTGCAATTAATAGAGTAATTATTTTTTTTCTTGATAAATAACTCAATCAAGAATAATAATAATGTATTTATCTTATGTACAAAACAACTTGCTTCTTCGATTTTTTCAGATTTTTTAAGTTTTTGGTTTTAGTTTACAAGGCTGTGCCATGTAAATGATAATTATTTGTATAAAAAATAAAGAAAAGAAAATTAGAAAAAATCGTTTGGCAATTGTAGAGCATCGGGTTCCGATGTTAATTTCTAGCATTACTTTTTTTATTTTTATTTTAATTAGTAATCTTTTGTGCGATTTATAATATAATTTAAAAACTTAAAATATGAAAAAAACGATTTGTATAAAAAATGTATCCGTTGTTTTTTTTTTTTATTTTTTTTTTTTTTGTGAATAATCAAGAAAGTAAAGAAGAAAATAGAAAATTACCATTCTAAATGCTAGGCTTATTTTTTAAATATTGAACATTTTCAAATGACATTGTTTCTACAAAATTATACGAATTCTATATTACTATTTGGCTGGTAAAAGACTGTTTGTTAAGATACATTTTAATTCGATTATCAAGTTTTTAAAATATTATTTTCTTAAAATTATACAGAGAATAATAAATAAATATGTTTGGATTATTATTTTACAGGACTATACTTTCAACAAAGCAAACCAGCCAAAAAATATCTGCGACTATGATACAATATTTCTTATAAATATACATATACCAGAATTATTGTCATAAATCATACAAATTAAATTTAAAAAATTAAAATTATTTTTATGTAACAGATTTATAGAATGTTTGTCAAGGTTGTAAATAGTAACAGGTACTTGTAATAAAATACATACAATATATTGCTTCTAATGATTTTCCCGCGTCATCTTTATCGTTCAACTAAAATAAATTTGTCATTGCTTAAATTAACTTGCATTATTAATTACTTCACTTAAGATGTACGATAATTCTAAAATAATATAATTATTTTGAAGTCTAATATAATATATAATTAATACTCAATGTAAAATATATGTAATTAAAATCATTTATAATTCATAAGAATATATACAGATTTTAACGAGGTTGATATATTGGAAATAATTGCAATATCAATTGGGGATTTTTTTTTCTATTCTTTAAATGAAAATTATCGTTGAAGTGAATTTTGCTATTAGTTTAAATTATGAGCTAACTCGTGTCATATGACCTTCAAAATGATTGTCTATAGTAATTAATATAATAAGGGAAAGAATCAAATAAAAATTTTTTTATATTTTATTATATTTTCATAATGCACTTAATATTGTAAGTCCTACCACTTGATATGGTAGGGATATTTTTAAACATTTGAAATATAAATATAATTTTTTAATTTTTTGGTTCAATATTAATAAGCTAAAAGTAATATTTTATTAAACATTTATTACAAATAAATATGTTATAAAAGTAGTTGACTATCAATTTACAATTCTATATCAATTCACAGATTCCTTTCAATTTCTTCGGTTTTAATGCATTTAAATTGAGACGCGAATAGAGTTTTTAATGTTAATTAAAAACATTATATAACATAATATAATAATCACGACCTTTAACATTTATAGAAAATTTATAAATGATCATTTTATCAAAAATTACATAACACACTTTTTTTTGAAATTTAAGTAATAATCTCTTAATTATAATTTCATATTAAGAAACAATTTGCTCCTATTTTGTATCGAAAAATAATTTTAAAGAACAAAAGTAAATAATCAAGGGCAAAAATAACTATTAATTATAATTAATAGTCCTTATAGAACGTATAAATTTAATGTAAATTAAATTTATATATAATCTTTAAAATTCTATCTGAAAAGGCGAGTGTGCATCGAATTCACTATTTACATGTTCTATACATTTGAATGTATCTTTTTTGGAGAAATTATTTTTTCAAAACTACCAAAAATCATAGATTTGAAATTATAATTCGACTGTAATTAATTTTTTTGTATTTGGAAACAATTAGACTATCTTCTAAATATATCATTAATATATTACAAGTAAAATTAATTTATATAATTTCCTTTAGCTTTTGAATAAGCACAATGCGCTTTATTAAATCCTAAGAAAACTTAACAACTGTTATTTGATAGATTTCTTATTGCAATTTTCAAAAGCAAAGTTTCAAATTTAATATCGTCATTTTAATATTGTTTATATTATGATTAATACACGTTTTAACTTGTAAAGAAATTCTTTATCTCCATAGTAAGACTAAACTTTCAAACACAGTTTTAAGTTGTTTTTAAACGAATTACAAGTTTTGTGAAACACACGTCTAATTTTTTTTAATCTATTCTTGAATCCTTTTTTTTTCTTTTTATATAATATCGTTTCAAATAAAATTCTCGTCAATGCGAGTGTACGGTCAATATTAAAAAAAAAAAAAAAAAAGTACAAAAATAAAGAAAAAAATATTAAAATTTAATTATTACATAATTTGATATTACAATAATTTACTATGTGCAATGAGAATTCATTAACATTATAACCATACGTTTATCTAATAATCAACAAAAATATTTATAAAATCCAATATTGAATAAGAAAGAAGAAAAAAAACTATTTCCTTTAAGATGAATTTCTGATAATTATCAAATTTTTTTATTTTAAATGCACAATGTCTTGACCGTTTTGATTCTATCGATCTTGGCGTCAATTTCGTTGATGAGCGATGCCGTAAAATTTTCAGGACTTGCCTCCTTATTGAGGAAATCCGCAACTAACTTGGAAGGCGGCTTGCCGCCGCCATGGGACAGACATTCATATCTATATCTTTCGCCAGCTACTCGACTCAGAGGATCAGCTTCAAAGTAGGTCTGCCAAATCCAGGAGGCAATAGCTCGTGATATTTGGTACGAATAGTATTTAGCTCCGTATCCAACAATATGAGAGAATCTTAACTGCCAAGCCTGTAATTTTTATAATAAATCTTACTGTGCTTATGCCTTTAAGAAATAACTATAAAATACGTGCTTTGATCGCAATTATTATATTTGAAAAGAATCAATAATTTTATTATATTCATGTTTTTTTTTTCTTCAAAATATTCTTATATCACTATCAGAAATGAAATTTAATACATTATTTTAACTTTTTTTATCTGTTTTTTTTTGTAAATATGTGTCAATTTACTACAGTGAATGACGTTGTATATTTTTATTTATAAACTATAAACTATATATAATGTGTGCTAACTTTGTTATTTTCAAATAAACGGTTTCATTAATTTGATCTAATTTAGATAATCATAAGAAGAGTAGTAATTAATATTGAAGCACTAATTTTCTTTTGAGCGATCTCTCAAAATTTTATAAAAACATTTAAAAAAAATATATATATATATTACACTTACAGTACGTGGGATATATGGCAGCTCATAGTATTGACTTTGAATTTGTTTCAAAACATCAGTAGTCGAATCTTGAATTTTCTTACTGTGATATACTTGATCTATCATACTATAAAATATCTGACTCTGCATTTCAAAAGCAGGAAACAGATTTTTTGATGAACAAATTTTATTTAACATATTCTCTGGAATTTTCTCCCCAGTCTCATAATGTTTCGCGAATAAAGAAACAATCTGTAAAAAAAAAGAAAAAAAAGAAAAAAAAGAAAAAAAGAATGTATCTAACCAATAAATAAATATATAAATATATAAAATTATATCTTTATAAAAACTGCTTTGGTCATTTACGTATTATTACTAAAATTTATTATTAATACATTATTTTACTGTTCACTAATGAATGTTTTGCCAATGATTTTTGCCCATTCTTTTTATAAATATAAATTTCTATAAATTACAAGATCACATTTATTACCATTTATGTAATAATGCACTTTACAATATAAAAATTAATTGTAGGACTTTAAGTACGCGAAAATGTTTATGTAAATCCGTTTTAAAAATAACATTTTCAATATATATACATGTAGTAATGCTAAAAGTCAAATATAAACAATAATTTTAAAGGTATAAATGAGTTATTTGCATTTGCAAAATTTAAAAATTTTATCAATAAAAAAGAAACTTTAAAGTTGGATCGATCGCATTAATTAAAATAAATTTCTATTGGTGTAAATATACATGGCCTCGAATGAATTTATAAGTGTATATTATTTAAAATTAAGATTTAAAATTAATATTTAATAATGTAAATAATAATCTAATAATATTACATATACATAGAACAAAGAAAATCATATTACGATTCGATTTAAATGTATTAGACAAATTATATGTATTTACACATTATACAATAACATTGTCTGATGAATAAATAATATTTGGCTGAATTCGTAATTTAAAAACCTACTTTAGGATCACTAGAAAAGTATTCCATGAGAATACTTGGCACTTCTGCAAAGTCAGTACTACATCTAGTTCCGGTTACATGCTGATATTTTGTTCTGCCAAGCATCGAATGCAGAGCATGACCCATTTCATGAAATAAATTGTCCACCAACGAAGGATTCAATAAGCATGGTGCTGGCTTTTTCGGCGATGGTAATGAAAGCATTAGTACAACAACAGGATTCTAAGTAAATCACAAAAATATATAAATTTATCAATACGTACCTTTACACATTAGAAATAAGCAGTTTGTTAAAAATAATAGGTGAAATAATTTTACCTGATATGAACCATCTAATAATTCTCGACCCCCTCTTATGGTAAAATGGCAGTCTTGATTTGGTTTATTATCTCTATCAAAAAAGTCACAATAGATATACCCAAGTAATGAATTATCCTCATCAATAACAGCCAATTTATAAATATTTGACGTCCAGACTTCGCCTGGAAGCGTAGGTTGGCATTCGAGCCTAACGCCGTACAAAGATTGAGTTATTATATTTAAACCTTCCATACAAGATCCAAGAGAAAAATATGGGGCAAAATCGTCGTTGGTTGAGCCCAGCCAAATTTTTCGGGCTTTTGTGCAAAGGTAAGTTGTATCCCACGGCATAATTGACTGAAAATTTGATTAGAGCTTCTCTTATTTTTATCAATAATTTGTTATTTTTTTATTTTTTTTTTTCCTCTCTTAATTTTATCATAAATAATCATAAAATGGAAAAATTAATATTTCTCTTTTAGTATATTTTAAAGTAATGTTTATGTTATTAGATAATAAAATACTAAATATGTACATACTTGTTTACTGGATGACTCAGAATCTTTAATTTTCTGTAATTCATTATAGTCCTTCTTGGCCCTATCTTGTAATCGATTGTTCATTAAATTTAAAAATTTATAAATAAATTGTGGATTCTGAACTGTACTTCCACGAACAGCCCTATAATATTTTAATTTTTATACTATTAATTTAATCTACATAAAGAATTAATAATTGATTTATAATGATCTACCTATGTGCGTAAGTTGGAAAATCACAAATCTGTGCCAACTCATGCCTGGCATTTAATAAATTTTGTAATAAATTTTCTTGTTTCTCGTCAGGATATAAAAATATTTTGTACGCAGCTTGCCTTACCAGAGGATTACTAGATTCTGTATTTAAACCATTGACTACGACATCGTCCCCGTCATTTTGAAAACTTAAACAATTAATTAATTGGAAGCTGTCAGAATGAATAAACATATATTGACTTTAGTTTTACTTACTAGTTGACCATTAATTCTGGTAATTTTTTTTTATTTACAACCCTAGCTTGAACTGTGCCAGCTACAAACTTTTGACCCCACTGTGAACAATAAGAATTTATAAATTACATAATCAATTTAGACGTTTGATAATAATCAAATTTAATAATAATTACTTGAAGAATTTGGTCATTTAAATTTACAACTTGACATCTTTGTTCTTCGGGTAAATGTATTCCACACTGCTCAAAATCAAATAGAAAAAGTTTGGCTACATGGTTGTCAATTTTAGTGGTTTTTACAATATCTCCATATTTAACAATGGCAGTTAATGAATCATATAATTGACGATTAATATTCAATCTGATAAAAATAATGATTAATATTAGACAGGATTGTGCAGAACATAATTATAGTTTTTGATATTATATAAAATGCGATAATTAATTAAAATTGAATAGTAATTTTGCTACTTTGCTTACTTTTCAACAAGTCCACTTATTGTGATACAAGCATTTTCTGCAGCTTGTGCAAATTGAATATTTGGATGCGCTACTCTTATAAATTCAGCCATATCCGCTACCCTGCATAATGTATCCGATAGCTCGTCAAAGATTTCAACCATTTTTCTATTGCGATTTCCTGATGTGTCGATAGCTTCATCAATGAGTTCGTTAGTGCGCGATATAGCTTTATCTTCAAGTATTTGGAACCCATTTGGATGTTCGAGTTCTGGAATTTCAAATAATCCCTAAAATAATATCATTGTATTAATTAATAATTGTCTCTCTAAGAAAAATCAAATCTTAATATCAACGTTATAATAAACGATATAATGACATAAAGTATATCTTGAAATATAGACATTTTGTTTATTCATACAATTCCTACAAATTGAGCTAGCTAATATATTATAAAATTACAAAGTTCATAATACAATGACACATCAATGTTTACATTTTTTAATACTCAATAAATATAATCAATATTTCCTGCTATTTATGCATTCGATTAATATCAATATTATATTATTTACTATTACTTAAATTGCAGATGAAAATTAATGATGCAAATAAAACAAAAAAAAAAAAACAAAAAAACATCAATCAGTTATTTAATATTTATTCAAAAAATTTACCAAAAACATCGAGATTTAAGATTTCGTTCCATTAAAAATTATACCTTACAGTACGGCGCTATAGATTCTAAAATCTAAAATATCTAATACGATCTTTAATTAAAAAGTAGGTTATAAAAAGGAAAAAGCCTACGGTTCTTTTATATCCAAACCATATTTTTAATTTTTCGGATGGTTTCGCATTGAATGCAGTGGCTAAGGGTGACAAAGTAGCGACAGTTTTTCTTCCTCCGCTTGTAAATCCTAATAGCAGTGATTTAATTGGAACCAAATTCAACATCATTATTTAATTGTTTGAATTGATATCTTGTCTTTTTATTAATTAATTAATAATTTTTATATCTGGCGCACAATTGAGGAACATAAGTATAATGAAAATCAAGACATTACAGAGCCTGACGAGATCATTAAATGATGGCCGACTGACAAATAATTATAAAGTATCACCACTAGGTGGCTACACATCTTACACATTGAGTCTCTCCTAAACTATTTCCTTCATGTATAAAATTTCTTTTTGTAAATGCGTGGAGTAATTCGATGATTTAGTGTGTATTAATTTGCCCTGAGCCTCGTCTATGGAGAATCAGAGTATTGAGATCAAATTGAAATTCGCAACTGATTATAGGTAGGTTAGGTTGATTATAGATAGTAATTGAATTAGATTAAACTAAAGGAGCATTTACGGCCAATCAGTTATGTAGTAATTGTAGGATAATCTGTTGTTTTGAAGAAATATTAGATCGTCAGGAATTCAATGAAGTCTCACTTCGTGTATCAATTGCATATGCAAATTTTTAATATATTTCTATAAAGTCAGCTATTCTCCCGAACGATTAAACGATATTTTCTTTTCATGTTTATTTATATTTATTATATAGAGTTGATAATATTTATGTGAAAAAATAAACAAAATTAAGCTATGTAGAACAACAAGTTTTTTCATTCAAATCTATTTCAAACTATGAACACCTGTATGGATGATAAATCGTTATAATATATCAAATGGATTATTTTAATTAAATCAGAACAAAACAAAATTTACTTTTTTATCTATTTCAGTATACTGTATATACTGTATTTGTACTGTGTAAATGAACAAATTTACAATATTTGATTAGGTTTCATTTATAATTTTATATTATAATAAAATATTTGAAGCTACAAATATGATTTCATATTATTAAATTTTTATTGCACTACTATATTATGTACTTATTTACACAAAAAAATATTTTGCAATGTAGGTTTATTTGTCTATTTTTTTTTTTTTTTTTTTTTTTTTTAAAATATCACACTTGCATTTATTTAATTTAAATATATAATAGAAATATATTTGTTAATTATTAGATAGTAATGTTAATATTTCTTTTGCTTTTGTTCTTTTTTTTTCGATAATGTATATGTGTGCAAATACATCAATAAGTGTACGTTGAAATTGTGTTCTCCAAGCGATGGGCATATTTATACTGTTTGCAATTTAGTACAATGGATAATTGTCTGTGAAAGTCCGAAGACAGGATGGAACCTTGAACGTCAAATCCGGTTGACCCAACGCATACAAGATAGGGATCATTCTTGTTTCTCTACAAATATATAAATATGTAATTTCCCTATCTTGGCCTTTATTCTCTCCTATATACAAACATGAACAATCACTGATGGTAAATTCATAATTAATCCGCTTTCATTTCCTACACTGTATGGCTTATTCTTGTTTTTTGCTTTTAATTCCTGTGCTTTACAAATAATTTTGAGACAACCATCTGTAGGATTAAAAACAATAATTTAACTAATTCTACTCCTTTTACTCAAATGACGTATAGATTACTTACATTAATAAATGTATTATGTATTATTTAGTATACATCACAAAAATACACTTAATATTTATTCTAGCATAACTTGTATAGAATATATTTACATTGTAAAAGATTTTCATTTACAATATGTATATTGCTATTTATATATACACATATGCTTGTGAAAATGATTCATGCACGTATCACCCTCCACACGCACACACGCACGCACGCACGCACGCACGCACGCACACAGTTACTTACATTTAAATAAACTCCATTTAAAAGCAATCAAATTAGGGAATATCAAACTGTTTTGTATCAGGGCTATGAATATTTGTTAAGCGCTGATATTTTGTCAAAGACTTGCAGTCCTCTGCGCAAGCAATTGTACCTAATTTTCTTTTAAGCGAAGATGTAGTAGATCTACAATTGATTAAGTTTTCCATATTTGTGGTATTTAAATAATTTAAAATGTATTCGTAGCATAAATCAGGCAATCTAAGTCCAGTGATAAATTTCAACGATTCCTTAGCGGGCTTGAGAATAAAACTTCTTTCCAAACCTTTCTTATATTGTAATTTCAATAGATATCCATATAAAGGGAAATATCTTTCAAAATTCTCCGCTATCAAGATTTTCTGTAAATTATCGTTTTTAATATGTCTCACCATTTCGTTTGGATTTTTGAACAAAATATTGTACAGCGAGGAGTAACTATCAATTTTGGTAAGCTTCATTTTTTCAATCTCGCTTCTACATTTTTTAATAAACTCATCATTTTCATTTTGAAATATACAATTGTTACCATTGTTATCGGCCTTGAAATTTGCATTTATTTCGTTTTCGTCTAATTTTAAGTAGAACGATATTACATTTTCACTTATGTAGTACCCAATAACCTTCAATTTTTTTATATGATGTACAAGCTCTACCTTTGTAGAGCTGTTATTGTTAAAGCCGTACATTGCAAAATTAAAATGTAATGCATTGTAACCATCTTTGTCTTCGCTATTTATATCAGCACCGTATTGTAACAATTTATAAACGGCGTAGTAATTTTTGGTCAGACAGGCAATATGCAACGGAGTCTTTCCATCCATTTGTTTAGCATTTACATCGGCACCTTTTTCTATCAACAATTTAATCATTTCCTTAAGCACGAGCTTGTATTTGCCCAAAGTAAGTGCCAAATGTAGAGGTGTGCTGAAATTAAAGGATTCAACGCAGTTGATATTAGCATTATGGCTTAAGAAAACTTCGACGAGCTTAGTGATCCTATATTTCACAGCCAAGTGAAGCGGTGTAATACAGTTTGTATCCGCAGCATTAATATTTGCTCCGTGTTTTAAAAATAACTCTGCCATTTCCACTAAATTATCAGTTTCTTCTTCCCTTTCGCTTGCAAAATATAGCATTGTACGGTTCCTGTAGTCTGGAATATTTACATCTGCATTATGGCTAAGTAGCAAATCGACTATTTTCTTACGTCTTGCATTAAGTTCCTTTAAAATTATTTGTTCAAGCGTATTGTTAACTGTTATTTTTAAGCGCTTCTCTATCTCTTTCTTGATGCTTTTAGGACGAAAACCATGGGCATAAAAAAGAGGTGTGCAGTAAGTATCATCCGTGGCGTTTACATTGGCATTACGCTTTAAAAGTAACTTTACAATTTCAATTTGATCTTCGTGATTCTTTTTCCAATCAATCACTGGGTTCCACTTATGGGCTAGTTCTTCTTTATATTTATAAATTAGCTCGTAGAATTTCGTTAAATTTTGAACGCATGCCAAATGTAGAGGTGTTAATTTGTTCGCCTCTTGTACGTTTGTATCAGCATTATGCTCTAAAAGTAATTGCACTATGCTTTTACAATTGTATTTAACTGCAAAATGTAAAGGTGTATAGCCAGCAAAGAATATTGCATTCGAAGTGACTCGTTCGTTAATGTACACTTTATTTTTTAAAATTTTTTTAACTACCTCAGGATTGTTTCTGGTACAAGCTATATGAAGGTAAGAAAGTAAATACTTATCTCGTATATTCCTTGTTTTAGGGACACGCTGTAGAAGCATATCGATTATATCAAAATTTTTATGTTCGCAGTTAAATGCATAATGCAAAAGGCTGCCAAATTTCATATTGTATCCTATGATATCTACTTCGTCACGTTTCAAAATTAATTTAACAATTTTTGTATTCCCATGTAAAATGGCTATGTGCAGAGGCAAACATTCTCCTTTGGCCACTGCATTCACATTGACATTACGATTCAGAAGCAATTCCACCACTCGAATACAATTATAATACACGGCGTAATGTAAAGCAGAATAAAGATCAAAAGTTTGATACTTTTCAAATCGACGGTGATTTATATCGACCTTACAATGAAGAAAACGTTGAACAATATCGACATTGTTTCTTGTGCAAGCAATATGAAAATGAGACACGCCATTATCGTCAATTGGATTAGCACATGTTGTATAGGCTGATAATAACAATGAATCTATAATGGCCTCTATTCTCGCTGAATTTTTATTTTCCCTGATTTGATTAGCAACATGAAGCGGAGTACGTTGTTCACAATTTCTTGCAACAATATCTGCACCTTTGCTTAATAAAAAGTTTACCGTCTCCAAGCACATATTTTTGACGGCAATGTGTAATGGAGTAAAACCTCGCAGGTGAAAGGATTTATAATATATAAAATTGTTAACGGATATTCCATGTTCCACAAAATTCTTGATAACTTTTAGCATATTTCTTTCACATGCTATTAAAAAGTGATCGATATCACCCGGGTCAAAAGGATTTATATTTTCAAAATCGTACATAGAAAGTAGCGTGTCAACCATTGAAAACTGTTGAGCTTCCATAGCTAAGCAAATTGGCGTTCTTCTACTTCCATTCCTATCATAAACAGTGGCACCTTTATCGAGCAATTTTTTTAAAATACTGGCATCTCTCATTCTAACGGCGTAATGCACTGGGATTTTAAAAACATTGCTCTCGGGTACTCTTTTCACTCTGCAACCTATTTTTAACAACAATTCAATGATATCTGTATAATGACGTTTAAAAGCAGTCAATAAGAGCGTATAATCCATCCAGTTATGATCTATTACGAGGCCATTTGATTGCAATATTTTTTCTACTTGTTTTGTATTACCTTGTCTAACTGCACGTAATAAAGCTTTATCCTTATCGGAGTAAAAAGCCATGATTTTATTATGAAAGAGAAAAAATACTCAGTTGTATATCCTGTAACAGATAATATAAAATATTATGCACTCCTAATGTTATTCCTGTAAATAAATAACGCATGTTACGATGAATTAAAATGAAAAGTAGAAGTGCGATTAGAGTATAGTATAGTGCATTACAAAATATTATAATAAAAACTTGATTCACCAGGTAATAAGGGGATCGAGGGGTAAAATTAAATATCGAATAATCATGAATATGATAAGTTTATTACTGTTTTTATTTTTATTTTTATATATTTTTTTAATTTATATATAAAATGACATATAGAAATGTAAAAACATTTTTCTTTCTTCTTTACATAAAATTATGTAAATGTAAAAAGTTTAAACATACAAAATGAATTTTATTATATCTTAACGAATACATAGGAATAAAAGTTTAATAAAAAGAAAAAAAAAAAAAAAAGAAGATGAAAAAAAAAATTCATGTATCGATACTTTATTCAATATAAGACTTTTATTTTATAAAATATATGGTATTTTTGTATTATATTGAAATATATATATAAACAAATACCATATATTAATTAATATATAATATCAAATAATACAAACAATAAAATAATAAAAATAATTACAAATATTTTCGCAATGTTGATATTATTGAATTTTATTAATAATCTTTTGATGTTTAATATAATTTGTCAAAAGAAATATAAATAGACTTTCTATATTTATATATAAATATATATACAAAAAAAGAAAGATATATATATATATATATATATATATATATATATTCGTTTTATACACTGTAACCTACAAAAATTGATACGTAAATAGATATCTGATGGATTTTTTACAAAATAATAATTATGTAAGGTAAGTACTTACGATTTAAAATCAATTAACATCGTTTGTAAATTAAATAATACTCGCATTAGTTATTAAAACTTATAGCAATAAGTAATAAGATGAAAACAAAGAAAAATTTTTTTAATCGATAATATTTACATTTATAATCGTCGTATCGTAAATAATTCATTAGCGCAGATAATATCATAATCTAGGGACTCCTTAAATGTGCTTTGATAAAAGGATAAATAACAAGTTGGAATATTATCGGCTCACAAGAATATAATCCGAACTAGCGATGAAGGGGAACGAATCCACCATTTTGACACTTTCGAGATTAACAATTGAAAAGCGCACATACATACGACGCATAACTTAGCATGTCTAACTGATAAACGCTCAGGTCAATTGGTTATATCCTTACATACGTGAAAGGTTTGTAATTCTTTCTTTCTTTTTTTTTTAAGCTACTCAAGCACATTGTCATACCATACTCTTGAGAATAATCATTTCAGCATTGATGTAATCGTAAATAGCATAATATGATGACATGTATATATTCTATATTCTAACGACCAATATCTATTATGTCAAACTATGGCTGGCTTAATGTATTAATTTTTATTTGAGAAATTTATATTTGTTTAGGTGCTCAAACGTAATTCGATTTATAGAACTAATGTAATCACACATTTATTAATTATCTTACATCTTGTTTTCATTTTATTGAATTACTTTAGTTATCACTAAACATAATTTATTTATAATTAGACTCTTATTTTATTATTGTTATTATTATTATTATTTTTTTAGTCTATCCCTTATTATCGCTCTTTACATTATTTTGTAATTGTTTTTTTTTTTTTCTCTCTTATATTAGAAACTATTCCACTGTCAATGTATAATATATTTTTAACGGTTCTCATTCCTCTCTCGCGTTTTCCCAATTAATTTCCTATGATTTTTCTCATATTTTTCTCCCCTCCGTGTCTCTTCTCACTTCTTCCTCATCTTTTCCTCCGACTTTCACCTTTACCCTGTGTCTCTAAATGCGCATCTCTAAATATTTTCCCTTATTACCATCATTCTCATCCCCCTCCTTACGCAATTAACATCTAACTTTCTTCTTTACTTTCGTTCATTTAATCATCTTTACGTATATCAATGCTTCGAATTTTCATCTCATTCGGGATCAAATATATTATCATTTGTTAAAGTAACATCTAAAATTTACGTTTATTTCTTCAAATTTCATTCTTAACAACTTGATGTTCAAGATACGCTTACTTATATAATTGCATTCACGTAATTCAGCTTTCGATTAAAAAATTTTTAATAGAGCACTCCGTCCTTCTGAAAATGTATAACTCATTATTTTATGAACATTGAACGAAATAATCATTCCCTTTATCCTTTTGATCTTTACTGTCGAAGCTTTATTCAATCCTGACATTTTCTTTTGCCCACGGTATTCTGAAAAAGTTGCGTTAAACTACTTTTATCTTTATTGAAATATGGATTTTAAAGAGCTCATTTTGGAAATTGTTAATTATGTTATAATAGCTAAGCTAAGATAAGCTTTAATATTAACACGTGTGTGTGCGCGCGCGCGATAGTGCGATTTGTAATATTTGTCATACATATATATATATATATATATATATATATATATATATTGCAAATATTTAATATCTATGAAAAGTTAAGTGACCGCAGATTTCGGCAGATCCCTCAAGCATTATTTATTCTTAGAATAAATTTAGAACATTAAATTTATAAAAATTTATGATAAAATGTCCAATCGCTTATATTTGCCATTGATGATGATCATCCGTCATAGATTTGAAAAGCTAAGTAAGCGGACGAGCTGCTAATCTAATTTTTTTTTACTTCATATCGCGCTACGTTTACGCATCAGTAATGTAATTATCATTAGTGGATAATATGCGCGTATGAAAACAGTCATTGGGAAAGGAAATATTTGGCATTATTATTATAAATTGTGACGCGTAAGAGAAGTCACCGCTACTCGTCTAGTGGCCTAACGGCGCAAAACGGCGATACCTGAAATATCAGCACGCAACTACTTATGAGAGGACAATATGTCGTGTAAACGCTTTACCACCCTCCTGCCCACCTAATACGAAAATAAAACTTCTACAGTGTGCAGTGTGCATGCTCCTCTAATCACAAGCCTTTCTTCCTACAGCATCTAACGTAGTATAAATATAGTACCTTTGAGCGATCGTTAGTCGTTCGTCGAACCTTCGAAAGTTATCCTCCAATTTTATTAAAATAATGAAATGCATTGGGTGGCGTTATAGACCTCATTATGGAGGCCACCATTCCCGTAACTTCTGGCCGTAATCTCTTTCGATAAAGATATTTGCCGTAATTTTATATCGTTAACGGTTATTACAATGTTTGTACTATTCTGTGGAAATGAACGTGTTGTTCGTTGTTCGATCACCACATTAAGCTCTCAATCTTCTTCGTATATTTTTCTGACGTAACTTTCTGACGTTAACGCAATTCGCTACACATAGTAACAATACGTAGCTTAATTTGTAAAAAAATTAATTTGTTCGCTAATTTAAATATATTTAAATTATAGTATTTGTATGGAACATAAAAGATATATTATTACAATGAACAATGTGACATGTAAAAAATATTTTTTTCTCTTTTCGATGTTTCCCGTTGTTGTAAGTTGTTAATGTTACTGCTGTAAATACAAAATAATGCTAATCAATGTTTACTACATTTCGTTCCTAATGAAGTATGTTGAATTTTGCCAATGTAAGATGTTTTTTCTTTTCTTTCTTTTTTTCTTTTCTTATAATTGAAATGTAGCAATGTAGTAATCGTAGTAAATAGATAAGAATTATTAGAAACATAGGCCTATCGAGGCATAAAAAGATAAAATTTTATTAAAGGTAGTGATGTGAATTATGCAATTAAAATATTTAAGATAGTCAAAGATTATTAGCATTTCCATTCAAGAAATAAATAAGCTCGATTGGCGCAATATAGTTGTATTAAATATTACGCTCCGCTTAACAATTATATAGGAAATTTTAATTATCATTGATAAATTAACTGATGCGCCGACACCAGTTTCTGTGAAAAATAATTCGTTAACAATTTTTACATTTATGTATTTATTTATATTGGGACTTCGTTAATTCGGTATATATTTTTTCTTTTTTTTCTTTTATGCTTTTCTTATAATTGCCATAATTAATTTGCAAATACCATAAAATTTTACTCCTTTTGCAAATTTTTTTTTTGAACATATTTTTAATCTTATGCATAATCAATATATTGCAATACGCGGAGCAAATAAGCAATCGTCATTTTTTAATTTCAACTTTATTTTAAAAATTTTAGTTTTTGTTCAATTTAATCGAAATATAATTATCAATATTTTTCGTTCGAGCTTTTATAATGGATCACACCTCGGCAATATAAATTCCAATCATCCTAAATTTAATTCCACCTAAAATGGCGGCTTTATGTATATTCGACTCTCTAGTGCATTAGGTATGACGAATTATAAGCTTTATTTATTTTTTTCTAAATTCAAATGTTACGCGATAAAACGTATTTTTGTCAATCAATCAACAATGCCCTTACGTATGCATATGTTTATGTTTTTTGGTGGAATAATCGAAGATTTGTAAGTTAATAGTCGAGGATGTGTACATTTTGTTTATACTTATACTGTCGCATTATAGTCATAGATCATGTGAGTCCATCGGCACATCAGCTGTTTTATGCCGATGGGTGATTTGATGTTTACAAATCGAATATTCGATGTTGATAAAAAGAGAAAAAAGTGGATATCTGTAAAATGATAAAAAAATTTATATAAACTGGTTGATTAATTATTCACGATTTGTATAACATGGAATGTAATTGAGCTCTAAACACTTTTGTTTTTATGACTTTTTTTGAATGTATTATTATTATTATTATTATTATTATTATTATTATTATTATTATTTGGGTGATCATCTATGAAAAAACTGACTTGGTAAGGTTCATGCAAGGGTGTATAATGAGTATTTTAAAGAGAAAAATACAAGAGTTTGAAGATGCTCTCTTTACAAAAGAGATTGATGTATATCAACTGAAGAAATTATGCTTTAATGGTATACCCGATGAAGGCAGTTTAAGACCACTGTGTTGGAAATTATTACTTAATTACATACCTTTTTCAAGGGATAAGTGGACCCAAACATTGACGTTAAAGAGAGAACTGTACAAATCATTTATCGATGATCTCATTGTCATTCCAGGGCAGTCGAATTTAGAAAGGGGAAGAATCGATGTTACAACCGACGATCATCCATTGAATTTAGATCCGGACAGCGAATGGCAAACTTACTTCAAAGATAACGAAGTTTTATTGCAAATAGATAAGGATGTAAGAAGATTATGTCCCGACATATCGTTCTTTCAACAAGGAAGCGAGTATCCCTGCCAAGCTATTGTTCATAGTAACGGACAGAAACGCTTGCATCAAAGAGTACACCATACAGTGCTAAAAAGTGCTAGCGTAGAAAGAAAAGGTCTTGGTATAACGAAAATTGCTGTTTCGACTCGTAAAGCTGCCGAGGATTATGCTCCGCTAGAAGGTGGCGAAGCGCATTGGGAAGTGTTGGAAAGAATTTTATTTATATTTGCAAAATTAAATTCCGGTCAAGGCTACGTTCAAGGCATGAATGAAATTGTTGGGCCTATTTATTATTCATTTGCTTGCGATCCTGACCAAAAATGGAGAGAGCACGCGGAAGCCGACACCTTTTTCTGTTTTACAAATCTCATGTCAGAGATCAGAGATTCTTTTATTAAATCTTTAGATGAAGCAGAATTTGGAATTAACGCTATGATGAGCAAATTAATGCAAGAAGTAAAGTTTAGCTGCTACGAGGTTTGGATGCGCTTACATCAGCAGGAGCTCTGTCCCCAATATTACAGTTTCAGATGGTTGACTCTTCTACTATCGCAGGAATTCCCATTGCCCGATGTTATGAGGATATGGGATTCTTTGTTTTCGGATGAAAATAGATTTAATTTCTTAATTCATATTTGTTGTGCAATGATTTTGCTATGTAAGGAACAAATACTTAGTGGAGATTTTGCAACAAATGTAAAATTGTTGCAAAATTTTCCATCCACGGATGTACAAATTGTATTAACTAAAGCAGTCGAATTAGCCGAAAAGTCTAAAATGTTCTGATTCATTAATTACGTAAGAACTTTCTCAAACAATTAGCATTTATTAATAATAAGTACATCAATTTTTCTAATATATGTATATTTTTAAATAAATAAATGCTCATAAATTTATTCATTAATAAAATAAATTCTATAAAAAATATTTGTTAATTTTTTAATTATTTTAAAAAATCTGGTCATCACGGTATATAATATTTGAATCGTAAATTATCATTGTTTATGTTCATTTATTTACATATGCCTTTCTTTATAAAATTGTATCAATTATTAAACACAAATGCCTTATTTTAATAATATTTTGCTTTTATATGTGTACTTAATTTTCATCAATATTACAAATATAATCTATTAGTCTTTGTTATTACAAATGTTATACGCATACAATTTGATGATTTATTAATGAATTTTTACAATACAAATTACCATCCAATTCTTTGCGGGTATTTCTCGTCCTCCCAATAGAATGTCTTGTTAATAAATAAAACAAATTGCGCAATATTTATAAAAATGGTCGTAAGAGTTTCTGCCACTATTTGCCAATTATTTGGTTCCTTCTGATAGACTCGACATAAAATGTACGGAATAATAAAGTATCGTGGTTCCAAAAGTAGTTGTGGCACTAGTACGATACAAGTGCATAATATATAAGCTACGAATGATAATAATCTTAAATGATTTAATGATTTAAAAATAGCGTACATTGCAAAAGCATAAACTGGAACTAAGGTATATTTAAAGATGGCAAAACGACTCATAAGGTTTTTCCATACATAGAACGAATAATGTCTGTTATCTGCTAAAATATAAGGATGCACTAAAGTATTGCAATGAATAATTAAAACGAGGAAAAATGAAAGTAAGCTTATAGATATTAAATTTTTGTATATAACTTGTTTAACAAATTTAGCCAAATAAGGCAATAGATATGGCCAAGAGAAACAAAGTACAAATAATGAGAAATAAAAAATTTGAGTTAAGTGAAATGTTGGAACGTGAGCAGTTCGATCACCTACGACTATACCCTTATTATAAATGATAAAAATAATGAAAGATGTTAAAGCTAAGGTATAGGGAAAAATGTCTTTACAAGTTGATTGTAAAAATTTTAAAAAATGTAACGTTCCACGCTTCTTTTCTGCTTTAAAAATTTTATACAACGTCCTCAGACATGGAAGTACATTTAATGTATCGGTAAAACGAGGCTTATTTGTAATTTGGTCGATTATAGTCAGACATTTGTCAATACCTAAAAAGGCGACCCATGCAACATTAGTTTGTCGAACACATATCGACAGAATACCCAAAAAAGCAGCTGTTTTATGTTTATCGTATAAATGAAATAGGAGCATTATTAATATCAAATTAAGCGAAAATATATCGGTATAGTATAAAAAAAACCAAAAGAAAAGTGGTGGAAAGAAGGTAATGTTCCAAGCTATTAAATACAATTTATACCTCCTTAAATTATTATCAGTTCTAGCTTTACTCCTTCCATTCAAACACTTAATTATTTGGAAAGATAAAAATAAATTTAAATATGTGCATAGTACATTGATAAGCCTTAAATTGGTTATTGTACAAAGATTAAGCGGACCGAGTAGAAAGGCCGAGAACAAGTATAATCCTGGCAATGTTGTTATCTTTGAGTCCCATTCATAAAATTCTCCTTCACAAAATCGCAAAGCTTGCGGCACGTGAAACTTTTCATCTATATAATAATGCGACTGGAAAGAATTTAAATAATAAAATAGTAATATTAAAATCAGTGAAAACGTAGCGCTTCCAAATGTCAAAATTTTAATAAAAGCATTCATAAAATTATCAGGTATTTTATAGAAGATTTTTTCCTTATATTGCGTTGCTACTTGTCCTGCCCTCATGATTTTTCACAGTAATTACAACTTCGTTTATCATTAAATGATCTTATTTTAACAATGTAATTCACTGATTCATAAGGAAAATTCATAAGGATTTCTAAACTAGAATAATTAATGGTTAGGATGCCAACGAATAGTGGTATTTTATATTATTTTCTATGAAATAAAATTAAATTTCATTATTAATTTTGTCAGATCTGTAACAATCAGAACATAAATATGTCGCTTCGTACTAATTTCACACACAAATAATAGAAAATATCTATGCTCAATATGCTTACATGTAGCCTCATAAGATGTGAAAATACTTTCACATGAAAATCTAAAATTTTGTAAATTAATATATTTTATAATAATACAGCAGTAGAAAATTGCAGAATTAATGCATATGTGTATAAAGAACAATCGAAACCTGCGATAATTATTTATAAGTAAAATAACTATATAGCGACAGACAGTAGGTTGAGGTTATATCGCATGTTCATGGCTGATTGGTTACGTTTGGCACAGTAGTGTGCGTATTAAACTGTATGCGCATGAGTAAAACGCGGTCGTGCTTTTTCCATGCTGAATCTACTTGATTCTGCGCGTTAAACACTTTCGCACAAGTTATTTTACGCGGGTTGTTTTGTCAAAGCCACGTGAATTTGATAGGAACAAGGTGGGATGGGGTGGGGAGGGGTTGGGGAGGAGGAGGAGGAGAAGGAAGAGGACGAGAGATACAAAATAAAATCGTTTGAATCGTTTTAACTTTTTAACGAGAGAGTTTAATTATTATAAGTATGAATTATTTTCTCATTATGTCTCAAATGTCAACAGAATAAGGTTTATGATAATACAATAAAGAATCAATCAATCAATTAATGCCTTTCGTTGCAAGTATCTTGCAACCGAGGTTATAAATTACTAAATAACAATAATTTGGATCGTCCTTTCATTTGCAATGTGTAGATTTTGTTTTTGGTAAGTTATAAGTTATAAAATAAAGATATGAGCATATATTTTTAGATTATTATCAGATGTTTTTAATGAAAAAAAAAGCCTGGACATAACTTAAGCCATATTAATTATTAAAGATATATAATTTAGTGAATTATCGAAAGAGCAGCTGAGTAAACGATGTGCTTACAAAAAAAATGATATCGAGCACGACATACCGTGGAATAATGACGATATATTTGTTGATTATCAACCAAGTAATATTTTGCAGCCAAAGAGTAATAGTTTACCCGTCATCGTCAATGGATTACATTTGCAAAAACCAGAAGATCCTCTATTTTGTCCTATGTATTGGAATTTTATTCCACATTGGTATAAGGTAAAAGACTTAAAGAAAGGATTTTAACAATCGATAGAGATTAATGTATTAATAGATTTTTAATATGATTTGTTTTTGTAAACTTTTTTTCAATGTATTGTAATGATATTTACACGCGTATCTACTTTGAAAAGCTTTAATTTTAACAATAAAAATTATTGTTTCATATAGGGTGAAATTTCTGTTATTTTATTATTTTATTGAATGCGAACATAATAATTTCTATGCTATTGGCTGAGATCGAGGCCTCTCTCCTTAGTATTAAAATTTTTCTTAATTAACAATGTATCCATAAAATATTATTAATTATTATATAATTAAAGAAAAAACTTTTAATTTTAATTTTACTTATACAAATAAATATAGCATCATTTTCAAATTAATCTGAAATGTCTTTTCCTTAGATACAAGGGCATTGTTAACTATACAATTTAGATGATTCATAATTTACACAATTTAGTATATTATTGCGGGAGTAGTATACTCTTATCGATATAATTTTGCAAAATCATTATCAAGTTTCTAGTACTATACATGGCAAAATTCATATTCGTTATCTAAAGTAAAAGTTCCTTTTTTCTCTATTAAATACTTATGATAATTATGATTAAATTACTTATATTCAATAGTTTATCAATTAATAGTATACTTTTGAATTACCATATGTATTCAATATATATTTTTTTTTTTATAACTATTAGCACACAAGCTTATTATATCCATAAATTTCATTGCATGTAAATTATTGGGATATCGAAAATAAACTGAATTTTATCTGTATTCCCGACAACGCTTATTTGGCCTTCTATTCTTATGATAAAGAAAACGTACGAGGTTCATTAACAACAAATTTTTAAATTATCATTGCCTTTTAACACGAATTATTAAAGAAATTCTCACCCATAGTGTTTTAAGATGAAAGTAAATACGGATTTGTATTTCGTCCCTTCTTTATTACAATGTATTGTCAAAAATTTTATAGGACGATATAAACGAATGGAAAGGTGTAACGCATAATGCACGCATTGAAAATATATATGAAAATAAAATTTACTCAGCATCTTTAAAACAAGGTAAACGTTGTGTCGTGGTAATGGAAGGTTTTTTTGAATTTAAAAAAACTGGTACCCAACCAGCCGAAGTATATTATCTTCATTCGTCGGACAATAATTTATTAAAAGCAGCAGGCCTTTTCAGTACTACCAAGTTACATAGTGTATGCATCATTTATTTTATCGTAAAAATTCAATATTTACATCGAGAAATTATAACATTTGCATTTTAGGGCGAAATCCTCCGTAGTTGCACCGTCATAACAACCGAATCGCATAATAATTTAAGAAAAATACATCATCGAATGCCGTTATTACTCAACAGAGACGCAGATTTCCAAGTAATTATTTATGACCATTTGTGAAAAACCATTTTATTATTTAGTAATGAAAATTTTCAATTTTTTTGCCATAATTATACATAAAAATAGCGATTACAAAATAAAAAAAATTGGTTTTGTTTTTAGTCTTGGTTAGATTTTAAAAACGTTTCACCGACTGACGCTGTTACCCAAATAAAAGCTAATTGTCAAAATGACTTGAAGTTTTATAAAACAAGTAAAATGGGCTCTAGAGAACTACAGGACACCAAGTATATCATAAATTTCATATTTTCATATATATTTTCAAGACATTCGCATTTAATTTTCTTAATATTCATGAACAGGAAAAATGTAGGATCCAAGAGTATTATGTCAAACTGGTTGAAGACCGAATCCAACAAAGGTGTGAAACGCAAAGCTAATGATTAAAAATGCTCACAACTGTAATTATAATTAATTATTTTTGTATTTGTAATTTATTGAATAAATACATTTGTAATTTTTCATAAAATGTGTTCTTTTTTACTTTTTTTTTTTTTTTTTTTAAATTTTATTTTAAATCATCTTTATGCGAAATAAAAGATTCACTTTTAAAATGGAATATTACTTTATTATTTCAAAGCCTTTATGAATCTTGCAAAATCCACACAAAATTTTCAATTCAAGTCACATTACATAAATCGATACAGAAAGTAAAACTAAAATTATTTCTTCGCCGCATACCACCATGCTCAAAGAAGGGATTCATAAAAAAACTCGTTGCGTAGATTGAAAAGAAAACTTTTATTCTCTTTTTCCATTTAGAGGAAAAGGGAAATAAAAAATGAAAAAAAAAAAAAATAATAAACAAAATTGATAAAGAAGAGAAAAGGAAAACAAATAATACGTATATAATAAACGAATGAATGAGACATTGAAAAAAAAAAAAGAAAAAAAAAAGAAAAAAAACTAAGGAAGAAGAACGCGTACTCGAGGAAATAGAGAAGGAGCGTTCGTCACAAGGAGGTGTAAGGGCGTAAAGGAGCAAGAGTGATTGGTGGACAGGGGGGGGGAGGAGGTGGAGAAGGAGGAGAGTTTTTATTGGGGTTTGGGTGGCGTGGAGGAGGAATGGGAAAAACAAAAGTTAGAAAATCTACTCCTTCTTCGACGCGACGGCCTGCTTGGCTTGGTGTGCTTGTAGCACGGCTACGGCTTCCTCCACTTTAGCTTTGAGCGACTCGCCGTGCTCGAGCATATGCAGTAATTCGGAATTGTCGATTTCGAGTAACATGCCCGTGATCTTGCCCGTTAGGTTCGGGTACATGCACTGAATAAGCGGGAATAGACGCTCGCCCAGCATCTGCTTTTGTTCCTGAGGCTGAGCTGCCGCGAGCATCGAGGCTGTCAGTGGTTCTTGGCCTTGAATGTGTACGGCTTGCTGTACCGGGCTCTGGGCTGGCATGGCCATTGCCTGCGGTGGGTTGCGCATATTCGGCGTGTACTTGTAATTAGACGGCCGCGACTGAGGCGATACGCCTACGGCTGGTCCAGCCATCGAGCGATTTTGCATATTGGCTGCCCCAGCAACAGCTTGTTGTCCTGTTGTTATTTATTAACATTGAAATGACATTGGAGATTTTGTCGAGGTATTGGATTGGGCAATTGTGGGCGGGTGAGTGGATCACGGATTATCGAAGGAATGCGAGCCACGATGAATGATAATAAGGGGCGACAAGACAAGGTGCAACAGCGCACAACAATTCAGCTGCAGCCAAAGATTCTCACCTGTTATGGGTCTGGCGGATAGAGGATTGCGCATTGCTCCAGCTTGGGCAGCGGTAGCCCTTGGCGTGGCTCTGAAGGGCGTCTGCATGGCAGCGAAGCCCGAGCTGCCCGTCTGAGCATTGGGCCTGACTGGTTGGGCCGGCCACCTCGGTGTCGTCCTAATCTGGGCCATTTGGGCTGGGCCGTAGAAGCGCTGTGGCTGAGGTATCGTTGGCACGAAGTAGCTGCCCGCTCCACCAGCTTGGAATACCTGTCCCATGTGCTGCATCCGGATGTTCGATACGCGTTGTAGGTATTGGGATGCGAGGTGGGCCTTACGGTCTTCCTTACGCTGGGCCAGTGCCACGTAAAGGGGCTTCGATCCGACGATACGTCCGTTCATTTCGGTCACGGCCTTGGTTGCCTCCTCCGGTAACGAGAAGCATACGAAGCCGAAGCCCTTGCTGCGCGCATCTTCCATCATTACCTATGAGATTCGAGTACTCTGTCTTATTATCGCTGTGAAATTAAAAGATCCTCTTAAGCAAATAATTGTGCGAGTCCAGCGTGTCACATTCGTATTGCACATGGGCCACCGTTTCGTTAATTACCCACGTCGATGGGGAACATTTCCGTCTGACAATCTATTTTTTCTCCGTGGATCTATCGTTAAAGCAACGGAGTCGATGATTTACGAGGTGAACTCGAATTGGGATGAGAGACTATGGATATGAATAATGAATAAGGGTGAGCGCTCCAGCATCCAAAGAGCAAGCTAAGTAGGAGAATTAACCACGAGCCCTAGTGAGAGAGAGAGAGAGAGAGACATGCCATCGCGTTCACTTATGCAGATTGGGTTTTTTTTTTTTTTTTTTTTTTTTTTTTACAAATCGATTGCGAATGTCTTTCGTTCTTGTTTCGGTGCTACTAGAGCGAGCAGAAAATTGGATCTTAAATCAATTTTACCTTTCGTTAAAAATGTGTTAGTCAGCTGTGCTATTAAGGACTAATGATACACGTATGAAAGACTATTGCCAACCATGCAGTAAAAAGAAGAAAAAAAATATTGAACTTGAGAGTATCGGTAGATGATATGTGAAAAGTATATTCTCGTTTCGAGTTCGAGTCTTGGAACGACATAGCCGATGATGTCGAAAACATCCATTATTCTCTTACCTCGCAAATGGATGATATTATACAGGAGTAAGTAAGGACAAGACTCGTCTAATTTTCTAATATCGACATTTCGAAAATTTCAATACCAATTAGTGTTACTAATTAACCATTAGTAATATGGAATGAGAAGTGGCCGATAATATTAAATTTTTAGTCGAAATATTAATGCTTACGACGAAATATATTTTGTTCCCGATTCCTTTCCCAAAATACTATTTAACTAAATACTATATAACGGTATTTTCTTCATTCATAGAACAAAGAAAAAAGAATCAACGCCAATGTAAGGCTACTTTCGGTTTTGTTTTGTTTCCACTCCCTCGCCCCGTAGTTGCGCGAGCCTTAAATTTTATTTTCCTATCGATTTTGCTTGTGTGTGCGTGCACGCGATGATAGATGCACGTAAAGTATAAAAGACGAAAAGATGCGCAATTTAGAAAAATTTCCTGAAATAATTAAAAAAATTCGTTACATCGGGGAACATCTTTAACGCGCAAAAATTAAATTTTAGTCAACACGATTATCGTATTTAATATTAGCGAATTTCGATCTAATTATAAGTTCTCCTCTCGTAAACAATCATTACGAGCATAATTAATTCTCGTACTCATCTTAATTTATTGTGTAGAAAGATTTCTTCAAGAATTCGAAGACTGTAATAAACTATTGATTTTATTTCAGACTACGTCAGCCTCAACATTTCACTAATGAAAAAGCTCCATTATGATTTGTAATTTAGATTTATATTAACTATCTTCGAAGCTGCCATATAAATCCGATTCCCCAACAATACTAATGCAATTAACTTTTAATCGAAATAAATTTTTTAGATAAGAATTTTGCATTTATCTCGTTCTGAATTCTTGATTTTGCGCAATTTTCATTGACTTATCGTATGAGCAATAAAGTTCGCATGTAAACATAATTATCGAGTTAAATGAGAATCAAAAATATATACGCATTGATAAAAAAAAAAAAAAAAAAAATCGATAGCATTCCAAAAAGATTAATGCACACAACACAATATTAGTTTTGCAGTCATTTTTAATTTTTTCCTTTTCGATAAAGATTCTTTTAAATAGCCGATAAGGTGTATATTTTGTTTTTACTTTGTCGTACTTAATCTACAACAATCAATGTAATTCGAAGACGTTTAATTAAGAAATCAGACAGACATAATAATAAAATCATAATGTATGTACAAAGCAATTATATCTTAGGTACTTCATACAACGATAAAATCAAAATAAATTTAAAAAATAAGAATACTCATTTTCAAATGTGATATAACTAAAATTTGGCATGACCAATTTTTTTAGTCGATTCATCAACAAATTAACATATATTCTTTCTATTTATTCTTTAGAAGTAAGACTAATAATTAAATCATTTAGATATTGTAGAAATTGAATGGAGAATTTAAGAATTTAAAGAAAAGATCGGATTGATTAGTAAATATAGTAAATTTGATCATGAAATTAAATTAACCTTTGTAAACAGTTATTTATAAAACAATATTTGAATATGATAAATCGATTGTTTTAATTATTAAAAAATTTAATGACACCAAAGCATCGGTAATTAGTAATTATTATAATTCTCATTGAATATCAAAATTACGCAGTTATTACGTTTCAATCGCGAGGCTATGCGAAAATCTTTGTAATTTATTAGCTAGAACGTTATGAATACACGAACAAGCTTATTTCTAAATGTACAATCAATGACGAACGGGAAACAAGGATCGATCAAGTTAATTAATTTATAATTGATGGAGAAAAAGAAAAGAAAAGAAAAGAAAAGAAAAGAAAAGAAAAAATGAAGAAAAAAAGAAGAAAAAAAGAACCGAAAGTAAATTAATCGTTAATTTTATATAAATAAAATGAGGCATTTTGCTACGAATGCACGGTGATCGAATATAATGAGATGAGAAATACAAGATACCTTAACTTTATCAATAACGTAAATTATCAGATTTTCCATATACGCAGATGTATCATGCATCAATTTCCTTTAATATATCTACTAATGTAAAGCTTTATAATTTTAATACTATAATAAGAGAAATAAAAGAAAGGCCATATAAAATTACGCTTACATTTGCCATGCAATTATAAATTTCGATCAATGGTTAAAATTAAATAGCAATATTGATGTTGAATAGTTATCTAAAATGTTTACATTTACATGCCATTCATTCTTATATAAAACAATTCTATTCAATACAAATATTTACTCGTCATAAAAATATATTAAAGCAATATACTTATCCATATAATTCCGACGCGTATAATAATAAAAATCTTGTTAATTCGCATATTATTCATCAATTTACCCATTTAATATCGAATGTTAAGTTTAATAAAAAATCGATAGTTACTTAATTTAATGTTAATACAATGATTTGGTATTTAAAATAATCTTTGAAATATATATATATATATATTAAAAAGTACGTACTCGTTACACATTTCGTTATGTTATATTTAATGATTGCTCATCTATCACTTGTATTTTCATATTATTTTTGTTTTTAATTAGACTACCGATAAACAATTTTACAATCTCGTCTGCTTACATTCCAAAGTATGATATACCGTGGCTAATATCATTCCATTAGTTTGTATACAATTTGTGCTTACATTGCGATTCTTTTGGTCATTAAGACATTAACTTTGTTTCTTAATGCGAAATCTAAACAACCTACGTTTCTATCTACGCCCCTAAATGAAAATCTAAAGAAAATGTTTAAAAACGAATCTTAGTAGCAATTTAACGATACAAACATGACTCGGTAACGTCTATTAAAATTTCCTTCGCTTTGCATAATAAAAGCACCAAAAAGGCCTACCTTAACGGAGGTTATTGTTCCGAAGGGAGAGAACTCCTTTCGAAGACGTTCGTCATCTATGGTATCATCCAAATTCTTGACATATAGATTGACTCCTTGATACCTAGTAAGCCTCTCGATCTTTAATTGTTCAAATTTGCGCTTAAGCTCTTGTTGACGCTCGGCCTTCTTTTGCGCCCTGCCGACGTACATAATCTTGCCTTCGGATATCTCCTTTCCATTCAGATCGGCGACGGCTCGATCCGCCGCGCTTGGATCCTCAAACGCGACGAAGCCAAAACCTAGTGACTTGCCATCATCCTTACTCATAACTTTGTGGCTGGTAATAGTGCCGTACTTCTCGAACATCTCTTTCAACTTGTCATCTGTCATATCTTCACCAAAGTTCTTCACGTACACATTTGTGAAGAGTTTGGCCTTCTCGCCGAGTTCCTTTTCACGCTCCTTGCGCGAGATAAACTTACCCACGTAGACCTACGAAGGTGATCGAGGAATTTATAAGCATTATAATAAAAATAGAGTATCAGAAAGCAAAAAAAAAAAATTAAAAAAAAAAAAAAATTAAAAAAACACTGATCACATATCTAACTTGATCGCGAATTTTAACGCGCAGCCGAACACAATTATCGTATTATAACGCCGTAATTACGTGATCCGGCATTTTTATTTCTTTCCAACATGGAAAATACAATTATATTTTCAACAGCATAAAAATGTAAATATAATTTCCAAAATAAAATCGAGTTAAATTAATAAAATATGTTTTTATTTACTACACTTCAATTGCCTATCTTCAAATTGGACAATTACTATCCTTTTCTTTTTTTTTTTTTAAATTCGATATACCGTTCGTAATAAAAAAAAAAAAAAAATAATTACCTGTAGGCTTCTATGTATATTTTTTATTTTAGCGTTCAATTTCATAGCTTATGAAATTGAATTGGTAGCTTTGCGAAAATCTCCTTGTAAAATAAAAAAAAAAAAAAAAAATATTCGCGTTTAAATAATTGTCCTTCAAAACTTTGTGCTTTATGAACAATTTCATTAAAAATTATTACGTACAATGAAAAATAAAAATATTTAATACTGACTTACGGATACGATCCTGTCTTGTTTTACAAATTATAATTACGAACATAATTCATCATTTCAAAATATATAAAAACAAAAACAATTTGAAAGATGCTTTGAGCAAAAGTGGCTTTAAAATCTTGTATACACGAACAAAATGATTAAACAACATAAGTTTTTTTTCTTCTTTTTTTAGTCTAATCGTTAATGATTTTACATCTGATTTTTTTACATTTAATATATAAAATCAAAGCAAACCCTAGGCAATTCACATAATCTGCTACATGTGATTTAGTATTAAGTATATATAGAATAAATACCGTACAATGCAATAGTATTGCAAAAATCGTTAAATTTAATGCTTTTTATGCAATCAAATATTATGCATCGTGTAATTAATAAAAGAACTTATTACAATATTGCAAAAGATTATTAATCGTAATGATTTAAATTAGAATTTTATGAAACCAATATAATAAAGTACAATATTTTATTTATTTTTTTTTAATAAGTATTTCAAGACAATTTATATAAAACCCGATTTTAATTTCAATATTCAATGAAATATTCAATAACCAATGTATTTACTTAATTAAACTTCATTTTGAAACGTTACGTTAACGAATAAAAGTTGACAATTTTTCTATACACACGTTAAAATCAATATATATATATATATATATATATATATATATATATATACATTGGTTTATGTCATATAAATAATTCTTTGTAGTCAATTTTTTTTTTCTTTTTTACAATTGAATATATAATGCTGGCGACGTTCTAAAGATTGAAAAATTTAATTTAATCTTTAAATCTAGTTTCATCCTTTGAAATCTTTTTTTGGTTTTGGTTTAATTAATAATATAAGATAAAGATGATGATTTTAATTTTTTCTTTTGATTTCAGGCCTGATTACATACACCTTCAAGTCAAATTTCATATCAAGATTAGAAAAAAAGTAATTTTTTTTTTATATCTTTATATATATTATAAAACGACTTGAAAATTAACGTGTCCATTCTATCTACGGAGTTACTAAAACATAAAATGACCCAGCACTATAAGAAGTATCTTTCTGAAAAATAATACAAGTATATGTATATACATATCCCTTGTTGAACCACATGACTTTGAAAATGTTTATTCCTGTGTAAATTTCTTCACTTTGCTCTCTGATTTGTGTGTAATTGTATCTGGTTATGCTCTGCTACATATTTAAATGTAAAGTTAATTTTTAATTTGTAAAAATTTGTAAAAATTTGTATACTTAGGTATCAATTATTTGATACAATATAGTTTTGTATGTATAAACCACATACAAATCATTGATCATGTTTTTTGTCTCTATAACTGTCGATTGGATCTAGAAACAAGAAAATTACATATATTTCAGAATACTTTGTTTTTACAGAGTCGATACATTCTGAACTCCATCTATAAGATAAAAATCTGTTTAAAAATTTGTTTTATAATGTACATGAAATAAATAATCAAATAATTTTTCTCAGTCTAATTTCATACAGTATAGATAGAGCATCTTTTATATTTACATCATTACATTATTAACGCGCATTAATAATGTAGTATATCAATAATACAATACAAAACGTATTTGTTCTAATGATTATTTATCCATTGTATTGGGTGAATACACAACATTTACAACTATTTGTATGCAATAAAAATATTAAAAACAATAGCTTAATTGAAAAATAAGATGAAACTACTAGCTTCTGTATGAAATTCAAATTTTCTGTTTCAATGATTAGAATTTTTATTTCACATCTGTATTACACAGAAATGAAAAATCTAATTCTACCACGTATCGATGACTCCCATTAAGAGCAGCTTACAGAGAACAACTCTAAAATAAAACATCTTATAATCTATGTGTATGCATAAACCATAGGATCTTTTACTCCAGAGTCATTTTCCATACGGTGTTCCGAACAAGAGCCATCGATGAAGAATCTTACCTTTTTCCCATTCAGCAACATTCCATTCACTTTATCAATAGATTTATTAGCAGCTTCTTCAGTTTCAAAGTGCACGAAACCGTAACCTTTGGACGAGCCTGATTCATCCTGAGCGACCTTGCAGCTGAGTATATTGCCAAAAGCCGAGAATGTATCATACATGGCTTTATTGTCAATATTTTTATCCAAGTTTTTGATAAAGACATTCCCAACGCCAGATCGTCTAAGTGATGGATCACGCTGCGACCACATTATACGGATCGGACGCCCTTTTATCATGTCAAAATTCATAGTATCAAGAGCTCTTTCCGCTGAAAAATGATTTCGAGCTTCAGCTTTAACTTTAAGAAGAAACCTAAGCAAATGTTTATTCTTGAAAGTTCAAGGCATAATTTCTATCGACAATCAGGACTGCTTCAAATTTAATTGAAAACTGTACTCTTATTGTTATAAATTTAGAAACTCCTAATGTAGTTACGTCATCTTATTCGTTTACCGATTGAGTGTCTTAAGTTAAAGGAAGAAAAAATATCCAACCATTTTTGCATCTAAAACTTATTTATTTTTAAGTTTTAATTTAATTTTACTTTTGAACCTTATTAAAACACATTAATAAATACAGCAAAATTATTTATCCTTGATTATCTTTATCTTTATTAGCCAATTAATCCAAACATATTGATGCTTTTTTTCTTTCTTTCTTTATCTATATTCTTAAAAAATGATTAATTTTCATATAAAAATTATAGCATTAAAGATTTAATACTACACAATTTAACGGTAAAATTAATTTTATTATCTTTTTACTATAAATGATTATTTTGATCAAATAACTGATCATGAATATAAGTTAATTGATCTTGCCTTCAAATTTTCTAAGTAATGCCATATGTCAGGCTACATAACCTTGCAAGAAAAAAACCCGCAAAAATGGATTCGTTATCTTTTTAGATTAAATGCTCGTAAGATTAACAACAATCTATATGAAGAATATCTCAGATTCTCGGAAATACATAAATTTTATAAACAGAAAAGCTGTCATGATTTGTAGTTGATAAGGGAATTAAATATGAAAAGATAGATTTTTCAAGTACCAGACGTTAGTGCACGTGTACGTGAACAGGCACCTACGTATAATATAAGTTTCGAAAAAGGGTAAAGTGAAAGGAACACGGCCGCAATAGTGTCTTTGGTCGGAAAATAATAGCTCTATCATCCATATAGTAATATTCTTTCATTTAGACTCGCATACAATGAGTGTAATAATACATCTCACTGAATTTTACACTATAGTAATAGTAAGAAAAATTTCTTCAAATATATTTCTCACAAATACAAAGTATCTTTGAATAAATAAATAAATAAAAAAAAACAAAAAAAACCCAATTCTAGGACATCTATTTAATAAAGAAATATTTATTAACATGACTTAATATGTTGCGTTTAGATTTTGAATAAATTGTAAAATGAGATTAAAAATTCAACGCGGCATCATAATTATTTGCCTAATTTGAGTATCATAAGAGTTATGTCAAGAATCTATCAGTTAGATTATTAAATAGAGAGAAAGTTGATAAATTGTTGGACGCTTTTTTCTTTATTTTCCTAATCTTCTATCATTAGTAGGTTTGAACGATAAATTACAATTTTACAACGAATCTTAGATTTTTGTTTACGCTTATGAATTAAATAAATGAGAAAGTAAGAATCGAAGTCAGGTTTAACATAGAAAGAATAAAATTTAATACAATCAGGGAGTGTTTGCCCAATGAAAAGAATGTTTGCATCACAGTTGCGCATGCCAGCTTGGTGAAAAATATATTGAATAATGTTTTTTTTGTTCGTTGAACGTGAATTTTAGAGAGATAGATAAATTGAGAGAGAAATGTACTCTATGATAAGCAATTGAGTAATTAAGCACGCAAGTCCTTTGAATTTTGCAAGGCTGCGAGATAGCATAACGTCAGTAAATCTTGTCGATGAGAAAATAACAAAAATACAAAAATAATAAATGGAAGGGAAAGGAGCGAACGCCATGATTTAGTAAAATAAAAAAAAAAAAAAACTAT